GTGTGTGTGTGTGTGTGTGTGTGTGTGTGTGTGTGTGTGTGTGTGTGGTTCGGTGAATTTAATTAATGTGCTTGCACGAGCCTGGGTGGGGCTAGTTACTGGAATGGACAATTCGCCAGTGGCTATATCGCTGAAGAAAATTACTCTCCTCACTTTTTTTCTTTTTTCTTTTCTTTTTTTGGATTGCCCAAGCTGGCTTTGAACTCTCCATCCACCTGTTTCAGCCTTGCAAGTGCTGGGATTTCAGGTGTGCAAGAACATAACTACCTTTTCTGTTTTAGTAACCAGTTTGGTACTGTCTTGCCCGGAGGCTGTGTGACAGCTGCAGAAACCAAACCCCAGGAGCATGTATTCCGCATCACTTAAGCTGGGCCTGATGGGTGTTCTCGGATGCATGCTCCCCTTGGGCATTTCCACCCTGTGCCGGGAAGCATGCTGCTATGGAGTCAGAAACTGTCCACTTACGGGACTAGCATCATCCTTTCAGGCAGTCAGCAGGTTCTGCTGAGAGCCTGCCCTGGTCTGGGGCTGGGAGTAGAGGTGAGGGCTTCGAGATTAACGAACTCCTGCCAGAAGCAGGCGTTCACTGTGTGGGACTAGTGTGAATGGGTTAAAGCCAGCACTGCTGTTTCACTTAGCAAAGTATTCTGTGAAAACATGGTAGTATTGCTGTGTGGCTGGACTGACTTTTATGTCTGTTTACTTCCAAAAGAAATGGAGATCTCAAATTAGGGTGTGTCAGCTGGTCATCCAAATTGGAATTTCTGACTAATTGCATGTAAGAGATACTTGAACAGTGGTGCATGTGAGCGTCCCTAAATACAAAAATACTGTTTTACTTATTTTTTGTTAGTTTATTTTGTTTTGAGACAAGGTCTCATTATGCAGACCAGGCTGGCCTCAAACTCACAGCAGTTCACCTGATTCTGCCCCCAGAACCCTAAGATTAAAGGTGTGTACCACTTTTGGTGGCATAGTTTTGCTTCTTTGAGATGGGGTCTGGCTGTATAGCTCAGGCTGACCTTAGCTCACAGCAGTCTTGCCTAGGCCTCTGAGTACTGGAATTATAGGTGTGCATGGCCACCATGGCCACACTTGGGCCCTGTGTCCTCTCATCATGTTTTAATACTGACTTTGCAAGCAGCTAAGACTCTCAATTCCAGGTTTTCACGGAGCCTTCTGCCTGGAAGCCTCTGTTGTGCAGGTGGATCTATCTGTAGGCCTGCCTTACCTTCTGTTCAATCGGAATCCCCTGTTGGCTAGATTCAGGTCTCATTTCCTCGGGTAGTTTGACGTGTCACTGTGCTGGGGAAGGCAAGATGTTGATACTGCTGTCTTGTTCATGTCTGTCAGCCTCCAGTTTCCATGGAACTTTCCTTTGCCATCATTTTCCATTTTGTTTCTTGCCCCCTCTTTCCTCCTCCTCTTCTTCTTTTTTTTTCCCCCCTCACTCTGGGGTGGAAAAGCATGCTGGAAAGGGGGATGTGGATGGTGAGGCGTGAGGCCTGTGTGAGCGGTGAGGAGTGGGGGGGGGGGGGGTGCAGGGGGTGAGGTGTAAGGCCATGAGTGGTAAGGGATGTTTTTATTGGCCCTTCTCACTTGACTGTTGGGCTGGGTGTTGAATTCCAGCCTGGAATGGGCATTCTTCAGAGTAGAGAAGGCTTGTTTGTTGCTTGGTGGATTTCAGTGAGGCCGTGCTGCCCTTTCACAGTGATCTGCCTCTTGGAACAGATGCTGTCTTTGTCACAGGCTCTGGTTGTTTCCATTGTTTTCATGAGCACTTGATGGTCTGAGAGATTGTTGGAACTTTTATGTTCTCTTTCCCTGTTTTTGTATGTTTTTTGCTTTAGCTGATTTTATTTACTATCTTTGGCTTTCCTTTGGAGTGGCTATGGGGAGATGGTAGGAGTTCTTTATCTTTTCAACTGAGCGTGTCATTTTTGCTGTTTTGTTTTACATTAAAAAAGACATTTTTGTTCAGTTTATTAAGCACCCTGTTCATAATTGCTAGATATGAGATCTTACTGTTATGAGTGTATCCATAGTTTATTCTCAGTCTTTCTGTATTCTGCAGTTTGTGTCCAATGAGGGCCTCTTTCCCTGGCCTTTGTTTCCCGTTAAACACTTTCTGAGTGTGTCTGCCATCGGTGCCATCTGTGAGGGAGAGTAGAGGCCCACAGGTAGGTAGAACACTGAGCAAACAGTACACCTGATGCTGGCAACGTTTGGTGCTTCCTGCCGTCTGTTCAGATCAGCTGAAGACCTCCCACTTGGAAAGGAAGTGGTGCTGCAGCCCTTGGGAGCTTCTGAAATGAAAGGAGGTGGGGCCTGAGCTTGGGCTTGTACAGTTCATTCATGCCTTGGATGGGTCATTCACTTTGCTAGTCTGGAGACCTGATTGACTCTTTCAGAAAGTCATCCTTTGATTTCTGCAGAAGTGAGAGCTGGCCCGATGGCTCAGAGGGAAGACAAGTAGGGTGGGGTGGCATCTAGCTGTGCTCAGAGGGGCCTCCCTCCCACCCTTGAGAGTCTCCCCTTCTTTCCAAGATGACAGCTGCCCACACCCGCATGTCTCTGGGGTAGTATGGGGCTGCCCTACTGCTGAACTGTCTGGTTTCCAGTTTGCAGACTGCTGTTGCCATGGCATCTTCTTTTGTCCCCATTTTCACTACCAGCCCCAAAGTCAAGAGTTTAAACCGTTTGTCGACATACGGTTTTATGGTGGTAGCATATTCACAGTGCGCATGTATTGGCCATTGCTAATGAGAGAGCAGATTGCTTGCCCAGAGTGCTTCCTGAGACTGGCAGCATCCCAGCAAGAACAGGGTGGGCCTGGGTAGTCCATTGAGCAGGAGGTAGCCTGTTTCTGTTCATGCAGAGACAGTGTGTTTGCCTGCAAGGACGGCAGTTGGATGGTGGAGTATTTCTTGACATGTTCCTTTCCAGGAGATTCCAGCTGGAACTCCAGGCCTGGCATTCCAGCACTTTAAGATTTGGCCCGCCCACCACATCCTCCATCCATCTGCCATTCTTCCTGGCTTCCCACTCACTGTTCCTGACAGAAGCCCCTGCCTCTGCTAGGGGGCCTTCCTTAGTAGTACACTCCTTCCTCCTCTGCATTCCAGCCAGGCCTGGGCCTGCTCATCCTACTCTGCTCCTGTAACTGTCCTTGTATGTTCCTGTGCACTGTCACCTTGTCCTGCCCACACTGCCCAGGCCTCTTTGATGTATGCTCCGCCCTCAGGGCCTGGCTCATCTCTGGTCCTCTGTCTGGGTAGATGCCTGGTATAGATTCCAAAAGAGAACTCTGTTTGTTTTTGTAGGATATTCGACATGAAGCCAGTGACTTCCCATGCAAAGTGGCGAAACTTCCTAAGAACAAAAACCGGAACAGGTACCGAGACGTCAGCCCTTGTAAGTACCCACTGTTCCCACAGCTTCACTCACACTTCCCAGTTACGGGTGGCCATTGTGTGTCGGGGGTTAGAGGTTATGACCCCATTGTCTCCTGTTAGAAGTACAGGAGGCGCGGTGTCATAGCTCGCTTTCACTGTTGCAGAAGGCACTAGGGCTGTAGTTTTTTGAAAGGTTGGTGGTTCAGAGACTTTTTTAGCTCTGTGTTGTGGTGAGTCATTTTCCTCCCTTGAAGTGGAGTGATTGGGCTTAGTGAACAGCCTCTTCTGGTGACTCAGCAGCAATGCCATTGGCTGTTGGCCTGGTGAAGAGCCACAGTTATGCTCACAGGTACTTTAGTCCACCAGATGTGCAGATCCAGTCAGTCCTTGTCTTTCACTGCTTAGGACTGGCAGTGCCCATTAGCCTGAGCCTGCGTCTTCTGACTGGCTCCTAATTCAGAAATATCTTCAGAGTAAATAACTGAACATGTAGAATGTGTGGAAAGCAAGAAAAGCCAGAACTGGGCTCAGGACCTGGATCTATCATTAGCACCCAGGTTTATTGACTCCCTTCGAGGTCTGCAGACATTACACCTCAACAAAATTGTGGCTACTCATAGGAGACAAAGTGGGTTTAGGATTGGAACACAACCTGTGCCTCTAGGTCTGCCACCCTCGTGGCTCTGGTTGTTAGGAGTGTCGGAGTCACACTCAACTTGCTGGAGTGTGTAGAGGTGAAGCAGCAGTGTGAGCCACTAAGCTGAGTGCCCCCTCGGGTATGCACTTAGTAAACATGGGCCAAGGTCTGAGACAGTTGTCACTGGGCATTTGGAAGTGCACCTGTAGGTCCTTAGGGGAAGGGTGACTGACCTCACCCCAGTTGCTTTTTTCAACTCGGCTTGCCTTGGCTTACTGGACATCCGATGTGTTTATTGAAACAAAGTGGCATAACAAACCCCCCTTGTTAATTCTGCTATGGGGTCCGGGCTGGAACTTAAGGACAACAATGTGACTGTTTGAGATTGTCCCCTAACTCTGCCAGGATGCCCCAGGACATCTACCAGCTGTCTAAGATGCGGCCCAGTAGCTGCAATGTCATAATAATAATAGGCTCATGCAGCCCAGGTTGGACTCAAACTTATCAAAGCTGAGCTCATGATCCTGCTGTCTTCCTCAGTTGGGATTATAGGTGATTTCAGGCCTACTGGGCTTAGTCAGTCTGCCTGCCTGTCTGCCCGTCCTCCTTTCTTTTCCACTTAAGAGTAACCCAGGCACTTTGGGAGGCAGGGAAATTGCTGTGAGTTCAAGGCCAGCCTGGTCTACAAAGCAAGTTCAGGACAAACAAAGAAACAAAAACCAAAAAACAAAACAAAACAAAAAGAGTAACATAGGCATCCTTTGACCTCCACAAGAAAATGGCAGAGGTGCTGGAGAGTCTTCAGAACAGAAACCGCAGGTTGCTGCTCTAGTGCCATGCTCCTTTTCCCTTTGAGCTCGGGTGAAGACATAATCAGGTTCCTCTGTGTTATAGCAGAAAGAACAGGCTCCCACCTGTAACAGAGGCAGGGCAAGAATGATGGCCCTTGGGAGCCACTATTCTTGTGACAAAGTAGTGAGAGAAACAAGCAAAAGCATGGTGTTCTGGTCAGGAACTGGGGCAGAGCTTTCCTGCTAAGTTTGTTCCTAGAATTACTTACTTCTGTGTACTTCCTGTGCGAAGAGGTTTTTACTTTATTAAATTGCACTCCACCCCACCGCTTTTGAGACGGAGTCTCACTATGCAACTCTTAACTGTCCTGGAGCCTGCTATGTAGACTAGGCTGGCCTTGAACTCACAGAGATCCATCTGTCTGCCTCTGCCTCCCAAGTGCTGGGACTAAATATGTCACCACACCAAGTGGTGACATAAGATTTAAGTCCCTTTAAATCTTACTGACCATAACTTCTGAAAGATCTTGAATTATCTCATCGTGCATGCCATGCTACTGCACATTAGTCAGATACTCTGCAGTGCTGGACACCTGGGCCGAGGTGCGTCATCAGTCAGCCCCACCTGAGACACCTCCGTATGTCACGCAGACAGCTCTCTGAATTGCTTTTTTTTTACAGACTGAAGACTTGACTTTACTCTGGGAGCCTCTGTCAGGCATCAGAAAGTGGATCCTTTGACAGTCTCTTAGGATCTGCCCTCCCAAGGAGGGCATGGTCTGGAGTTGATGGGTGTTGCCATAGAATGTGACATTTCTGGTACTCAGAGCTGTACTCAGAGTTGTCCTGAGAAGGCCAGTCACCCTGCAGATGACTAATGTCACCTGAATAGTGAGGTCTCTGCCAATGTGCATGCTCTTCAGGCCATGGGTCCCTCTCTGCTTTCCTGTAGAATGAAAGCACTTGGGTCCCAGGATTTACCCAGCTCTGCTTTTGTCTTTCAGTTGACCACAGTCGGATTAAATTGCACCAGGAAGATAATGACTACATCAACGCCAGTTTGATAAAAATGGATGAAGCCCAGAGGAGCTATATTCTCACCCAGGTAACAAGCTCTCTGGACTATATTTTTCATGAAGAGTTTTGAGAGTGCTATTGTGTTTGCATCAGATAAGGTCATTGTGTCCTTGAGAAGTTTTAAGCTTCTCATCAACCAAAGCAGCAGCAAGTAAAGAAACATCCTCCCTCAGAGTCAGTATGGGCACAGCACTGTGAGCTGACACACTGAGCTGCCAGTGGCCTTTGATGGGCAGGAGACCCTAGACCATGCGACCTCAGCATGAGGTCCATGGAGGCATGGACTTCAGCACTGAGTGCTTCTGGCAGCAACTAAGAGGGCTAGCGGTTGGCCTAAGTGTCATTCATTGTTCCTCTGGGCCTTGTTAGAGAATGTGATGTGATGTCTCTTAAAAACCACAGCTCTGGGTGTCCTGAGAAAGTGTAATGGATATCCTGTAATGCACTTCCCGGTGTGTAACCAGAAGACCGTGAATATCTAGAAAGGGGATAAAAGTTGATTTTCAATAATTTTCTCCATTTTACCTGCAAGTAGGTCTAAATGGCCATGTGTTGGTCCTCTTAGTCTCCCTTTGTCTTTCCATATTACATCGTCTGGGCTGTAGGGTTTGGGCATGACAGTTCTGCCTGCTGTTCGGAAGTCAGATCCTACGTAGCCAGAAGCTTGGAGAAGCACTCCTCCATCACTGCCCTTCTCCCTTTTGTTCCAAGCCAGATGCCCCCACGTCAGTGTGGGTAGAATCAGTGGGCTGACCTTCCTGAGTCTCAGCCAGGGTCCTCCCAGCACCTCAGTGTTTGACTGGGTGGCTGCAGAGATTCCTCAGGGAGGGGTCCTGCCGTTGAGACTCTGAGGCACCAGTAACTTTTTGAGAATCAATGTAGAGAAGTTACCATTCTTGGCTTCAGCCATTCATCTGTAGTTGAGGTCAGAAAGACTTGGTATGGCTGTTGATCCATTATAGGGTATGTGATGCCAAATGAATCAAATGAGCATTTAGCATTTTCTTTGAGGGGCTAGGATTTGGGGTTTGATGGTAGAGTACTTCCCTGTCATGCGAGTCCCTAGGTCTAGTCCCTAGTATTTCCAAAAAACAAAACAAAACAAAACAAACAGCAACAACGAACACACACACACACACAACCCTGCTACAACAAAAAAGAAGCATTCATTAGACCCAGGTGTCGTGGTTCATACCTGTGATCTGATCCCTGTACTTGAGAGGCTGAGACAGGAGAGTTGTAGCATGAGTGAGGCCAAGTTGGGATACATAGTGAGTTCTGCAGGCCAGCCTGGGTTAGGCCTTAGGCCCTGTTTAGAGAAATAGAGAAGCTCAAGCATTACTCCTCTCCCTACCCCTTCCCTGGTCCCTGGCAATTATGTGAGTAACAGTGTGTTGTATAAGGCCACACCATGGGCATTCACAGGTGGTCCTATAGCCCTGGGGGTTTCAGATAAGAATCAAAACAGTCTGACCCCAAAGACAAGGAGACCCAAGCTACACACCAAGAAGCCTTCCAGTACATTTAGTATTGCTCATTATGGAAGCCACATTATAAAACCTCATCTGACTCAACAAGTCAGGTTGGAAAGAGCAGATGTAGGGCTGTCCTTCACCTCCAACACAAAGGGACAGCCAATTCTGGGCCCTGTTCTTTTGAGTCCTGAAATCTACTGTGAGCAGGGTGGTGCTTAGAGACGACAGTGTGACTGGTGAGTTGCAGAATGTTGAGGCTTGAATCCTTGTGCAGTGCAGAAGATGAAGGGCCTAGATGGCCATCAGGTACCCTGGCATCTAGCCGCCATAAGCTGGCTCTGTTACCTGAGGGAAGGGTCATCTGTGTGACACTTTTGTTAGAGCCTTTGCCTCACACTTGAAGACAGAAGTGCTCAGGGAGGAGTGAGAAGATGCCAAGTGCAGTGCACAGAAGGGGGTGTGCCTAGATTTAAGGGGCGTGGCTTGCGTGGACATAGGTGAGAATGGAGACTTCTAAAAGATGTTCTGACCCAAGGATGCGACCAGTCCTGGTGTGGATGCTTTCCTGTAGTGTCCCTTGGGGCTGACAACGAAAGCAGAGTCCCAGCACTTTACATTGATTCATCTGCACCCACCATCACTAGGTGGGCTTGCTGCTCAGCAGGCACTGGCCATGCCCAGGTCTTCTGAGCCTTTGGTGGAGCTCTAAAGGCTGTGTTCAGACTCATCAGTGTTAGTTGTAAGAAGAGAGGCTCACTTTGTCCTGGGGGCGTGCTCCAGGGCTTGCTCCATCCTAGGTGCTGTGCTGAGCCCTTCACATGTGGCACTACTGTTACTTATACAGCTGTGAACACGTGCTGTTCTTAATCAAGTGGCTGTGTGGGAAAGCAGGCTGAGAGAGGCGGGGTGACTTGCCTAAAGTTAGGAGATGGCAGATTTTAAAAGCAGGGTCTGGGACTGCCAGAGCACACTGATGGTCCTGCCCCATGCTGCCTCTCACCCACATAGGAACTTTGTCCTCTACTCACCTCTTCACAGACAAGAAGCCTAGTAGAGCCCCTCAGCCATCAGCTCAGACCAAAAGCCAGTCTGCACTGAGGTGCGGAAATGACCTTTCACCACATGATGGGTGACTTGACCACAGACAGGGTAGGCAGCCTTAGTTGCCACTCTGCCTATAAACACTGTCACTGGCTGACTGCATGGTGTGCTTGTGTGTCCAGTGTTGTCCAGTGTGTATCTTGTGTGTTTGCAGGGCCCTTTACCAAATACTTGTGGGCACTTCTGGGAGATGGTGTGGGAGCAGAAGAGCAGGGGCGTGGTCATGCTCAACCGAATCATGGAGAAAGGCTCGGTAAGTTCACCCCACAGCTCTTTGCTCCTGCTGTCTACATGCATACAGTCATAAAGCTCTGGTTCCCTGAGTTTCTTTTTTCTAACTCCTTTACATGACACCTTGTTTTTAAAAAGTTAAACATTACATAACTACATACGTATTGCAAACAAGAAGCAGTAGGCCAGGCCCTGTGGAGCCTGATGACGGCATTCTGCCTCACTGGCTGTGCATTCTTGGCATTGCCTGTGCCTGGAGCCAGGTAAATTGTTGTTTGTAAAAGCAGCTTTAGAGCATCTTTACCAAGCCTACCTTTGGCTGCTCGGACTATTCCTCTTGATGGTAGACGTGGCACTGCAGAGCCGTGGGAAGCATTGGCTTCTAGATTTGATGTGCCACCATAACCTCTGCTGGGTTGCCTTCAGGACTCACGGCACTGGGAGTTCTGGCAGCTCTTAAAGTTACTGTTATATAACTATTTGTTTCTCAGTTTCTCTCTTACCCTTGCTATCGCACAAATAATTAAAAATTTATTATATTTGTTTAATAAACTTCACAAAACAGTAACTGAGTGGTTATTACTTCATTCTTAACCCTCTAAGATAATCTGGCTTCCTCTTTGCCAAAATCCCCAAGATACTTGCACTTTGTAGCTTTCTCTGATCCAGCTCTCTCTCCAGATGTCTCCTGCACCTCTGCCCATGGTTGAATCCCTTACTTTCTCCTCTAACTCCTCCTCCCCTGGCTGGCAGGGAGTTCAGCCCTATTTTCTCCCCTGCCCAGCTGTGAACTGCTTTATTGACATAATGGGACAGTTGGGGAGCAATATTTATATAACATTGAGACAGGAGATTCTCAGAACAAGGACTGCAACCAGCTATGGGGTGCAGAACTCAGCATTTGAAGTACACGCTAACCTTATGCCTGTATCACCCCTTAGGCTCTATCCCTTCAACTACTTTTGCTCCTAAGCCGGCTGCTTTCTGTCCCACACTTCCAGAGTGGTCTGTGTCACTCAGGTCTCACCTCTAAGGGTAGTCATTGATGTGGCCTGAGACCCTGAGTGGCTGGACCTGTGTCTCACTCTCCAAATGATAGCACAGTCAGGCCTCCTTTTGTTTCTTACTCTGTCTTTTGGGCCAAAAGTGTGAGTCACAATGACACTGTCTGAGATTGAGGCCTCCTCAAACAGCCAGTCCTCCTGTCCCTTCCTTTATCTCATTCCTATGGTGGATACTCAAACTCTTTGAGTGCTTTGAGTGCTGTTGCCCACGGCCAGCATGGGGCAGAGCCAACAGCCTCCTTCTCTCCTCTCTAGACTTGGTTGGCATTTATGTACTTTCCAGCTCCAGAGGTTGAGGCCCCTGGAAGAGGTCAACTGAGGGTTGTTGGGACCAACTGAAACAATAGCCAGGAGCAGAGAATCGGATGTCCATTGGCCTTGCCAGGTGCAGGCATTGTGCTGCCTTTTGTTCAGGTGGAGTACCATCTACACCTGCCTGGCTTCCTCATGCTTTTAAGAACATGAGGTTGCCAAAGAAGCCATCTATCCCCTCCAGAGATAGTTGCACTCTGTACATCTGTACAGAGATGTACAGAGTGGGGACAAGGCATCACCAGCAAGCTGCACCCACCACAGAGCACAAGGGACCCACTCACTCCTGGTAGTTTCCTTGGGGCCGCTCGATGCCATACTGTTGCCTGGTTTCCACTTCCTACTTTTGTAATGCATGATGGTAACAGATACAAAGCCTGCTGGTGTGCTCAGTTGACAAAACCAACGAGTAGAATTTTAAATTAATCTATCATTAAGAAATTAGCAGATATGGGGGCTGGAGAAAAAGCTAGCTCAGTGGCTAAGAGTGCTTACTGCTCTTGCAGAGGACCTAGGTTCCACTCCCACCACCCACGTAGTGGCTCACAACCACCTATAATTCAAGTTCTAAGGGATCCAACAACCTCTTCTGACCTCAGTGGACACCAGGCATGCACATGGTACACAGACATATATGCAGACAAAACATGTAAAAAGTAAATTAAAAAGTCATCAGAGGCTGGCCAGTGGTGGTGCAGGCCTTTAATCCCAGCACTAGGGAGGCGGAAGCAGGCAGATCTCTTAGCTCAAGGCCAGTCTGGTCTACAGAGTGAGTTCCAGGACAGAGAAAACTGTCTCGGAAGTCACCAGGTGTGGTAGGATTTACTGTGCATATGTATAAGGGTACACATGCATGTACATACTCAAATATGTAAGTATGTTGTTAGGGGTCCTGATGGTCTCTTGTAGTTAGCAGTTTGCATTAGCAGCTGTTGTCACATTATAAGGAATGGTGTCTGCTCTGTAGCTGCATGACTGACACGAGGTCTGGCTTTCAGCACTCCGAGCTGACTCGGAGTGGATCCACCACGACCACCTTCCCCAGGATTCTTGTGTTACCATTGGAAGCACAGCTGGGTGGCTGGTTGCTATTTCCATGGCAGCATGGCAGTGGTCCTTTAGAACTATTCTGCTCCACTTAGGGCCATTGAAACAGTGTGCTTTGGGTGGGATCCACATCAGCAAGCCCAGGGGTGGGTAGAGTATAAGGACTGGGGTGTTGCTGCTCTGTCACCTAGTTTCAACCATCCCTAGCCCATCAGCTGGGCTTCAGAGGTACATGGTGTGTGCTGTGTAAGGGTAGGGCTGTTGTTTATACAGGGGGAGGGAGCTAAGTGAGTATAATTTGCATTCCAAGACACAGCCTGTGTCTCCCCAAAAACCTCTTGCAAGCCAGAGTTGGGGTTCAGGCACTTGGTAGCCCAGGGTCCTTAATTCTGGAACCTGCTCACTTGTCAGTATTAACCATCGTTTGGAAGATGAAAACAAGCCACCTGTGTGAGACAGCACGGACTGTCACAGCTTCTCCCTCAGATGGCCCAGCTCTGCTCTGGAAAGACTTGTGTGAGCTTTGGGCTTCATGGTGGAAATGACTGTTCAACTCAGGATGCCAGCACACTGGCATGGCCACTTTCCTGTTTGAGGCTGGGCAAAGGGCCTTGGTGTCAGTCCCGGCACGGGCCTGCTCCCATTCCAGTAAAAGTCAGTCTTCCGCTCAAGGCAGTGTGTGGGCGCCATCAGCTAACTGGAAGTAGGAGTTACAAACCCTCTTGTTTGTTTTGTGTTTAAAGCAGAAGTTTTTACGGGAAATGACAGAGCAGAGCATGGTCCTATAGACAACTAATTCAATGTTTGATGGACACTGGCTGTGTGCCAGAATGCTCTTAAATTGTAGATTTTGCCTAGATTAGAGATCTGTCAGGCTTGGTCTAGGCTTCTGCTGTGGGAGTGAAAGTTAGAGCCCGTGTGCCCTGCTCATGGTGAATGCCCACCCTAGCATGGTTGCCTGGGGTCGAAGTGTGGGAATAAGTGACCCATTCAAGTCTCTCCATGCACAGTTCACTGGCACATTGCCTCTGCATTCTGACGCCGAGATCTGTTTTTATGCTGGCAGGTTGGCCCTAGCTGAGGGGCCCATCTCTGTCAGCTGGTCCTCAAAAGTGAGGGGTCATGGGTTGAGCAGGCCAGACCTTGAAACAGAACTGTTGAGAAAGCCCACTTAGCTTCTGTCCTGGGATTGGAAAGTTCTACTCTGCTGGTACTGTAAAGCCCAGGCTTCCTTCAGTGCTTCACTGCCATTTGCATTGATTTTGTGGGGGGCAGCATTGAGCCCCAGAAGATGGGAGACCAACAGGCCTCCGCAGTTCTGTCTTTGGACTCAACTCCTCCCAGCCCTGGGTGATGCCACAGCCCCACTATGCTCTGGCCCTCCTTGCCCTGTCTCCTGCTTTCCCTTGAGACACTATCCTATCACCCATCAGAAACTTCTCTCCAATGAGCTTCCTTTGACCTCTTTTTTTGATTGGCTAGCCTAAGCTTCCCCCTCCTCTGAATCCCCAGGTCATATAAATTCTTTCTCAGTGTCTTCCCTTCGTATTTTCCCCATCTATCCACTCTAGAGGGAGGAAACCTCTTTCCCATCAGACGAGGCCAGCCTGGAAGAGGTCAGGGATATGGATTCCACATGCCGTGTAACAAAGAGAGGCTTTACTGCATTTCTTTGGGAGGATCAAGGTCTCTGAGGTCTCTCCCTGGGCACCCTGTCAGTCTTGCCTTGAGACTCAGGACAGCTTCCTGCAGCAGGAATGGCTGAGTCTGAACTTAGTTCACAGGATCTGTGTGACTGAATCCCAGACCAGATCTTTTGGTTCCTCAAAAGCTGTACTGATCAGCATTTGACTTGGGATCATGAAATGGTCTCTGATGTCAGCAAAGTAGAATAGCAGGAGGACTTTCTGAACTGAGCCAAGTCAGAATGACTGTGAGCTGCACTGCGAGCCGTCCTCCCACCTCGCGGCTGCTCTGACCACAGTCCCTCAGCCTGACAGGCTCTAGCTCTCTACCCTGTTGCCTGTGGGTTTCCTCAGGGGCTCTGGTCATACTGAGATGCTGCTAAAGTCATCTGTGAGGGGCACAGTTTCTGTGTGGTGTGGTTTTACCTCACAACAAGAACCAGAACCTCTGTAACATGTTGCTGAGTGGGAAGTATGAGCCCTGCCACAAAGCTGCCGGGTCAGGGTCTCAGCCAACTCTAGTTTTACTAAGGCAAGAGCTCTACTAACCGGGAGACCCAGGCCTGTGAGTTGTCATAAAGCTAGCAGATAGTCTCCAAGCCTCCTGTCTCATGTAGCAGTAGCTCCCGGTAATCCAGTGTTATTCTTTTCCCAGTTAAAATGTGCCCAGTATTGGCCACAGAAAGAAGAAAAAGAGATGGTCTTTGATGATACAAATTTGAAATTGACACTAATCTCTGAAGATGTCAAGTCGTATTATACAGTACGACAATTGGAGTTGGAAAACCTGGCTGTAAGTATGAAGTCCTTCTGGAGACTGTGGCCTGCTTCTGTTCTGAGTCCTTGGGTACTTATTTCAGCTGCAGTGTTTCCAGGAATTATGAGCCCTGTGCACAGTGTGGCTATACCATGGTGAGCAGGTCTTGCTGTTGTAGGAATCAGTGCTCAGCCACCAGTGAGGGACAGAATACAAGCACCTCCCACAGTGCTTTCTCACCCTTGACACCAGTTAACATAGTTCCAAGGGAAAAGGCAGTTTCTTCCCTGAAAGTACTTTGCTCTGACTGTAGGACTGGAGGGCTGAAGCGGTGCCTGCAAGAGAAATTGACAGCAAGCTTGCACCTTCCTAACTGTCTGCTCCTCCAAAAGAAGGAGGGCTTCCCCCACTGCCCAGGTTTCCTGAAGCTGAGACTTTCTAAGCCAGGCCTTGGGTGGATTTGCTGTGACAAAGTCATCCTGTCTGTTGCTTACTGCCACTGAGAGGAGGTCCTGGGGCATCGTGCAAGGCAAGGTCCTCTAGGAAGGAGCAGTGGAAGCTCTGCTTTTGGCACAGAGCTGTGACTAGGGAGACCATGTGAGTCCCAGGCATGGCGAAGCCACTGTTGGCTCACTCTGCCCAACTGCTAGAACAGGACCAAGGGGCATCTCCCCATGTCTTTGCTTGTTTTAGTTTCAGGCTAGGACTTGCAAGGGTTCTAGGAGGTCATGGGTGAAAGAGCAGTAGGTAGGTACATGGGATCCTGAAAGCAGAGGGGAGCTAGACCACTGGAGGAGGCTTGCTGCGCTATCGGGCAGATAGGGATCTGTTGCAGTGACAGTCACACATCCTTGAACTTTCCTCTGACTCCTTGCTTGTAGTGAACCAGTTCTAGAATTTAGCTCAGATTGCTGAAGTATAGAGATGGGTGAGGCCCTGTCACGGCCTAGTAGAGGAGCCTGGGACATGGGATGAGGTCACTGAAGCTCTGTGGGAATGCCACTGGCAAAGTGGGGTGTGATAGACCTTTCTAATGCTTTTCAGTATTTGCCAGCCTGGCTTTTAGAGTGACATCTGGTAATCTCTCAGAAATAATCTTTTTGTTGAGGGAGACAGTTCAGAGCACCACCAGAGAGGCCTGTTGTCTGTTTTGTGGCAGAGTGAGGACAGGAATGCCTTGGCTTTTGTTTGGGGTGATTACTTGTATTGAGACAAGGCCTCATTAGTAGCCCTGGCTGGCCTCACATTTATTTTGGCTCACCTCCCCCCTTGCACCTTGTAAAGTGGTGTTTGGTTTTATGAGGAGGCGGGAAGAGCTGCTGCAGGTCTCCAGCTGGGCCCCCAGCTGTGCACAACATCCTGGGTCTTGTAGCCACACTGAGGGGAGGCCATGTCTTTTCATGTATGTGTCCCATAGCAAGGACCTCCTGTACTTTGCAGACAGAAATAACTTGTTATCAGCAGGGTGTCTATGTCCCATCTTTGCCTTTAGCAGGCTGCTGGCCCTCTCCTCTGCCGTGGAGCCCTGCCCTCTGGGGTCTTGCCTGCAGCGGCCTTCTTTAACAATATTGGACCATAGAGCTAGTGAGATAGCTCAGTGTGTAAAGGTACCTAGCAGTAACCCTGTAAGTTATCTTCTAGCCTCCAGAGGTATGTTCACATGTAGCACCCTTCACCCCCAAACAAGTATTTTTTAAAATACCAGACCATCCGGGAAAGAGCAGAGTGGAAACAGCACTGGAGGCCATTCTTTTGACTCAACTACAGGGCCACTGTGGGATAGCTATGGAAATGGGTGTAGTCCTGTAGGTGCATGAAGGCGTGGCAAGCTCTTAGGCAGTCTGGCTTCTGGAGTCATGGCTGATGCTGCACCTTCGTGGCAGCTGCCTTCTCAGCAGTCCTTTGGAGACTTGAGTTAATCACATTTTCTTCAAAAGTAACAACCGCCTGACCCATCCCAGTGGTCTCCCTCAGCCACCCAGACCTGGTGTCTGCCACCCCGCCATCTCCCCATATGGGAAGCCTTTCTAAGATTTAGGATGCCATTGGCATCATGGTGACTTTTCAGCTGAAACAGTGTGTAGCCACATGTGCAAGGGTGAAGAAGCAGAAAAGTGAGAGGATCGTCTACTGTTTAAGGCTGTGGCCGGACCCAGCCAGTGCACACTGAGGAAGGCCGGGCAGGAAGTCACTTGATGCACGCATGTGGTCTGTGTGAATGATGCTCTCAGCCTAACCACAAGCCTCTGTTTCAGACCCAGGAGGCCCGAGAGATCCTACATTTCCACTACACCACGTGGCCTGACTTTGGAGTCCCTGAGTCGCCTGCCTCTTTCCTCAACTTCCTGTTTAAAGTCCGAGAGTCAGGTTCACTCAGCCTGGAGCACGGCCCCATCGTGGTGCACTGCAGTGCTGGCATCGGCAGGTCGGGGACCTTCTGTCTGGCTGACACCTGCCTCTTGCTGGTGAGAAGGGCTTTAAAGCCAGGAGGGAAAGAAACACGCTTGCACCCCTGCTCCCCTGCTGGCTGCAGTTCCTGTCGCTGCCCACAGGCCCCCTTCCTTGGAGGACACCCTGCTGTGGCCTTTGCCTTCCGTTTCCATGACAGTTGTTCTGCCCCTTCTAGCTTTTTTCTCAGTGTTCTCCCAATTGTCACAGGAGCCAGGGCACCCTAGAATACCCATGAGCTTGGGCCCAAAGGGTCACAGGTTGGCTGCATTTTCTTTCATTTCCTTGAGTCCCTCCAGCACCCCTCTGTGGCTTTCCTCTGGCTGACCCAGACTCCTTGGCTTGCAGATGGACAAGAGGAAAGACCCGTCTTCTGTGGATATCAAAAAAGTGCTGCTGGAGATGCGCAGGTTCCGCATGGGGCTCATCCAGACAGCCGACCAGCTGCGCTTCTCCTACCTGGCTGTGATCGAAGGTGCAAAGTTTATCATGGGCGACTCCTCAGTGCAGGTCAGTGCTACTCCGATTAGCACATGAGCACATGGCTCAGTTCCTAGCTGTGGGTAGACCACAGAGCCTGTGCAGGCTCGTCAAGACTCTGGTCTTTGAAAGAAACTTCCATTATAAAAGGCCCAACACTGTTGAGGTCAAAGAAAGTAGCTTCCCTTTATCTATGACAGTCTAGACTGTTAAACAGCTGCTCCCTTCTGCCTGCCACATGCTCTGCAGAGCTCTGAGAGGAAAGGTAGGCTTGACCTTCTAAAGACCTTGCCTTGCTCTAATCCCAGCCCTTTGGACACCAGGAGTCCAAAGCCTGAGACTCAACCTCGAAAAGAACAAATTTACCTTCCAAATATTGCCTAGAGCTAAGGAGCCCAGAGCAGCTGCTGAGACTGGTCACTAGGGCAGACCCAGAGGGGGTATTAATGGGGCTTCTGTTGCTGCTCTTCCAAGGATCAGTGGAAGGAGCTCTCCCATGAAGATCTGGAGCCGCCACCCGAGCATGTTCCCCCACCTCCCCGACCACCCAAACGCATCCCGGAGCCTCACAATGGGAAGTGCAAGGAGCTCTTCTCCAACCACCAGTGGGTGAGCGAGGACACCTGTGAGGATGAGGACAGGCTGGCCAGAGAGGAAGGCAGAGCCCTCTCAAGTGCCACGCACAACGTGAGCAGGTGATGGAGGGGCCTGGCTTGCTGGGGTGGTGACAGAAAGTGGCTTGCTGTCCAGAAACACTTGTAGGCATTGAAAACCGTGAGACTGCAAGAGGTGCTTCTTTGTGAATGAAAAATGGTGTTACCTCTGTCCCAGCAGAAAGTGCCCATTAAACCTGAGTGTTCCTATGAAGTGACAGGTTATAATGGGGTTCCAGTGCCCCCTTGTGGTGCCTGTGAGATCAGCTCAGTGCTGGCACTAGGCAGGCGTTTCAGCTGGCTTGCTCTCCCTAGTATAAGCCTTGTATAGAGCATCCACTGGTACCTGTGGAGTGCTGAGGTGATACCAGAATGTACTGGGATGTGTGCTGCAGACCCTCCATTTAGGGAGAGGGGCAAGCTCCTAGCATTGTGTGCTAGAGCTGGGGTGATCAAGAAAGTATGTGCCTGCCAGATGTGGGCAACTGCCTCCTTCCTGGAGGGCAGTTTTGACTTGTGGGCACACATAATCTGCCTCTCAGCAGTACCCACCCAGAGCTCTGCACAGTGTATAGAGGCATGACCTAGCTGCCCTCACTACAGTGTACTTGGTCATAGAAGAGCTAGCAGTGTGCCTGTGCCAGGACTAATGAAGCCATGTTTCCCCTGTAACTGGGATGTGGATCTAAGTGTGTCTTTAACTAGAGCCAGGAGTTTCCATTCCTGGTAAAGCATGTGAACTTGTGGGCTATGGGCTGACTTGATCCTTGAATTAAACCCAGCCTGGTCCGTGGATACTGCCCAAGGTCTTCCGTTCTGTGCTGGCCTCCCCACCCAGTGAGGGGGCCTCATTTCTCCAGAATTCCTCCTTTGTGATAGTATCCTTGTCCATCTTCTCAAGGTGAATAGCCTATCTCTTCCTCCCTCCTCAGCATGAGTCAAGACACTGAAGTTAGAAAACGGATGGTGGGTAGAGGTCTCCAAGGTACCCAGGTATCTGTCCCCACCAAGGAAGAGCTGTCCCCAATGGAGGAGAAACAAAAGGCACACTGGCCAACTCACTGGAAGCCCTTCCTGGTCAACGTGTGCATGGCCACAGCCCTGGCGACTGGTGCGTACCTCTGCTACCGGGTGTGTTTTCACTGACAGACTGCTGTGAGGCGCGAGTGCGGCGGGCGTTGCCGCCGCCCAGCTTAGGATTCGGTCTGCGGCATCCGACCCGGTGTTGGGGAACAGCTCGCAAGCCTGCGGTGGAACTGGAAGGGCCAGCCCAGGAAGGGCAGCAGTGCCCTGGGCTTTGAAGGAGCCCACGGTCCCAAGAACAGTCTAATCTCAGGGCCTTAACCTGTTCAGGAGAAGTAGAGGAAATGCCAAATACTCTGACTCACTTGCTCTCACCTCACTCCTCTCCCCTTTCTCTGGTTCGTTTGTTTTGGGGGGTAAAAAAAGAATTACAACACGTTGTTTTTAACATTTATAAAGACAGGTTTTTGTTCTTTCGGGGGAGGAGGGAAGACGCTTGTGCCCTTTGGTGTGTGATCAGATTCATGATTTACATTGGTTTCCCAGGGGAAAGAGCCTAACCGGTCAGGGATATAAAGCTCCTGCTGGTTTGGGCCCTCCCCACTTTGCACCCTGAGCTTGCAGGAGCCGGGGTGCCACCCTGTTGTGAGGAGAGCAACAGTACAGGCCGTGTCCCTGCATTTCCATCCTCACCTGTGCCCTCTTTCCTTGTGACAACCATCTTGCAGATGTCCCAGCCCTCACCACCCACCCCTGCAAATGGGTTTCCCTGAGGGCCCTGCCTCAGGGTCAGGTTCATCTTAGGTGGCTGCTGGCCTTTGTGCTGCAGTTTCCATTTCATTTGCAAAGTCAGCACTGCTGTGGTAAAAGCCACTCCACTGAAGTGTGAGCATGACTGATGGAAGGAGCAGCCTTGGCGTCATGGAAGCCACTCTGCAGGACTTGTACCAATGAAGCACTCAGTTCTATCCCAGAGAACATCCTAGAAGGCATCAGATGATTTTTGTGAACTGCAAAGACTGTTTTCCTGAGCGGTGATTTTCAGAGTCTGGACTCACAAAACCCCCACCAAGCGCTAGCCTTGCTGCCTCTAGTGCTGGTGTGGCTGAGGCCCTGAGGAGGCGGGCGCTGTGGTGCGTGCTGGGCACTTGCTTTCCTGAGGCTGCTGTCTAGCAGCACAAGCCTTCACTCCAGCCGCTCAGCTACAGGCTACCATAGCCATGGTGTGGAAGGGCTGCTGGCCAGCAGAGCCAGCTGCAGAGGATGCTTGTTCACACGGAGCCACTGTCCCAGGCCATGCATCTCCCTTTCTGCTTTCTCCTTCCACTTCTTTCCCTGGAGCACCAAGCCCAGAGTCATTTTGAAGAGTGCAGGGAATGGCAGAAGCAGAACAGTGGCCCATGGCAGTAGCATGAGGCTCCACCCCTTCCCTAGAAGCCACTCCGCTCTTATTTATTCACCTTTTCTCAAAGGCGTCCCCACTGCACGAGCACATCCCTACACTGATGATGGAAGTTGTCAGCCTGGCACCCAGGGCTTTGTCAGGTACAGTAACACATCAGTCCTCCAGAGCCAGGACTGCAAGCCTGACAGGAGCCCCTGTATGACCAGGGCTAGGGCTAGGAGCTGCAGGTGTGAGGAGCAACTGTCAGAAACCTGGGACAGTGTAGTAACGTGGAAAGACCTTGTGGTGCTGATGTGACACGCAAGGGTCAAGGCTGGGCTTTCTCCCCATGACCTCTGGATTCTGTTCCCAGCCTCTGTTTTCTCTGTGAGTTAGAGAACGCGAAGTCCTGGTGGTGCCAAGTGCTTGACATGGGAAACGTAGATAGATGCCTACTCACTGACAGCCCGTGTCCAGTGCGGATGCTGCCTCACTCCTGGCAGGGCACCTCAGGCTCCCTGGCCTGCCCCTCCTAGCCCACCAAGCCCCGCTGGATCTCAGACATTCCACATTTACATCTCATTCCCTGGACACTTAGGCAGGCAGGGCCCTTCCACCTCTGGGATCAGTCCCTCCATTCCAAGTTCATACTCTCCCAAGAGCAGGTCAGGATTGAAAGCAAAGCTGCTTGTGGGAAGCACCCTCCTGGGAACAGCGTGGGTGTCCTTAGAGTCAGCCTGCTGTTGTTGCTGCCCTGGGCCACCTTGCCCAGAAACGTGCAGCTCCTGAGCTTGGTAGAGACTGATGGTGCTCATGACTCTTCCTGTGAAGGGAACTTAAGACCTCCACATTGGGTGGCTTTTTAAAATAAGCGAAGGCAGCCAGAACTCCAGACTGCCTCTTGCCAGCATTTCACATTTTGCCTTTCACCCAGAGAAGCCAGCACAGAGCCACTGGTGGGAACGGTGGTGGCCTTGCCTGCAGAGCCTGGTGGGTAGCACGGCCAGGGTCCAGGCTGAGAGCAGTCAGCAGGGGGCTGTGTCTGTATAGTGGGGTGTGTACAGTAGCCTTCTAGGTGGATGTCCTGGAGAACAGGCGCCCTGTCCCATCGCCTGTGTGGAGGTAGCAAGCTGCTGTATGCCTTAAGCCAATATTTACTCAGCAGGTCCTTCTTCCTTCGTCTTCTTCCTTCCTCCTCCTCCTTTCTTCCTCCTCCTCCTCCTTTCTTCCCCCTCCTCCTCCTTTCTTCTTCCTCCTCCTCCTTTCTTCCTCCACCTCCTCCTCCTCCACCACCTCCTCCTTTCTTCTTCTGCTTCTTATTCTTTCTTCTTGATGGCCATGGAATAAACCATTTTTACAAAAATAAAAACCAACAATAAAAATAAAGTGTTCCGGTATAGTGTGTGGGGTGGTGCATGCCCCAGTGGGGGTGTCTCAGGGTCTTCTGTGACCTCACAGAACTGTCGGACTGCACCGTTTCCAACTTGCTGTCTCACTGATGGGTCTGCATTAGTTGCAACAATAAATGTTTTTAAAGAACATGGATGTGAGGTGCTTCCATCTTCTTTTCCTGACAGATGCGGGCTGGAGTGGGCAGTCACCTGTATACTACGCCACCAACATGAGGCAGACAGATGCCCGGCAGGGTTAGCATGCTGTGGGTTGTATGTACCGGTGACTGGCCAGCCTGCCTTTGCTGCAGAGCTTGCGGGGAACTTGGGGACCCCACACTGATCTTTCAGGAACCCACCCTTTGGCAGCCTAGAGGACCTTAAGACTCACAGAGATCGCCGGCACCCCTGTACCAGCCTCCTCACTGCCCCTTGGCCAGCTGCCTGTCGGACACCATGGACCTGAGACCATGTCTCAGGACATCCACAAACCTCATTTGATGTACACTTGGAAACGAAAATGAGACCCGAAAGCAGCATGACCTCCCATTCTTGCATAAGACTAAACCTGTAAGACCCCAAGGTGACTGACTTCCTGTTTCAAAGTCACTTCAGGCTTGTTCAGTGACAGATGTGGCAGAAAGCACAGCCCCATATACCCCTCAGGGATTCACAGTTGCTGTGTAGCAATTGGTCCCCTCTGTGGGCCTGGCACCACTGTCCCAGCCAAAAGCTTCAGGTATGAAAATGGTGTCTGAGCTTTCACAGACAACATTGGCATGAAAAGGTGAATGACTAGTCACTCTGGGATAAATCAGTGGGGCAAAGACTTGGCAAAGGTCTGGGGTATCGTCATAGTGCCCCGCAGAGGAGGGCAAGGCCTACTACGAGCCTTCGGAATCAAGAGTGTAGGGAGGATCCCCAGTGGGTGCTGCAGAGAGCCCTGAGACCCTGGCCACCCCTCCCATATGACACTATCTCCCATATCTACTCTGGGCAGCAAAGTAGCCATAAACTAGAGTTTTTAATTGAGACTTCAGGGAGTGAACATGAGGCAAATAAATACCAAGTCAGCACACATGGTCTACAAGACGCTAATGGGGTATGCCTGAGTCAGCCCCGGGAGCCCCTCGTGGGTCTCCATCCACAGTGAAAAACCTCAGCTCCGGCATCTGGAGCGACTCATCTAGTGGCCTGAGGCCGCCGTGCTCTGGAAGAGGACCTGCCCATCCGCTGCCTGTGGTAGCCCATGTTTGTCAGACCAGTTCTGCCCCAGCTGAGGGGGGTCACACTCAGTCCATCTTGTCCGCCTTGGAGCCTCACCTTGGCCTGGACCCTTGATCCTCAGCGCCTGCAGCCCTGGCATTGCACCCCAGGAAAGCAAGAAGGCAAAACAACATTTGGTGGAAGGCCACGGCTTTGGAGGTCTCACATACCACTTTCTGTTCTGTAAATACCACCACGCCCCTGGGCTGGGTACCGACCCAAACATCAGGTAGCCATCCTGACCAGCTCACGCTTGTGAGGAAGTGCCATCCAAAACTTGCACACTGTGGTGGCTAGGCAGCATCAAGGAAGAAAGAGGCCAGATTTGAGCTTATTGGTCACAGCTTCTTAAAAAATCGTGATTTCAACATCTGCTTCCTGGCAGAAGGCGTCCTGTTCTGAGTGGAGTCTGTCCATCTTCTCAAAAGCTAGGCGTCCTTTCTCACCTGGGAAACAAAGGTGTTAGTCACTGGCTTGTCACCGCCTGGGTGTCCTGCTTTGCCAGGTCTTGGGTCTCTAGAGGGGCAGTGCTTGGGTTTCCCATTCCTCTGCTGGTGACTGAGCCATCCACGGCCGTAACAGCCTCCTATTGTCAGAAATCTCCTGGGCACTAGCCTGGTTTTGCCTCTGCCCTCCATTTGCCAAGGACCTTAAAGTGGCAAGCTTATCTGCCTGCCCTAGAACCCGGGACCCCACCGTGCTGCAATAGACCCTTTGGCCACACTTTACCGAAGGACAGTGTTGCCTCCCGCGCTGCAATCCGCACGGCCTCCAGGTCAGACTGACACAGGCTGGCGATCTGCTCGATGCTTTCACTTGCCTTTGAGGGCGGGAGAAAGGGGGCTTCTTAAGCAGCAGGTAGCCCCCCCCCAGCCCGCTTGTCATCCCTGCAGTGCTAACCCCGGCATGGCTCCCAAAGCCTTGTGTGCCCTCTAGAGGCCTCTGGGCTTCCTACATGGTCTCCAGTTCTTCAGCGGCACTCTTGGAACTCTCTTCCACACCCAGTACAAGCCAGCAAGCAAGGCCACCAGCAGCCTGTTTGTGGACCCCACCTAACAAACCTGGCTGCCTTCTGGGACCTGCCACCTGAAACTTTCTTCCCTGGAGAACCAGGGCCTGATTGTCATACATCCATAGAACAGCGCGCCCACAGGACCTTCAACCCCTTCGCCCAGCACCTGAGGCTCAGCAGGTGCCTCCGAGGACGTTTGGGGGCAGCCCTGGCCAAGTGGGGTCGGTGGCTTTGCCCTGCACTGAACCAGCTCCCATGTGCAAGTGGGCAACAAGGTTTTCCAGGAGGATCCCCAGCATGGGAGCGCAAGGAGAGGGGAAGGCAGGGCTCACAGGCCCTGAAGCAACCCCCTGTCATCCAGTACGGGAAGATGAGCTGGAACCCAGTATGGGTTTCCTTAAAACCCGTTCACAGAATGCTCATAGTGGCCTTGATGAGGTTATTGAGACAGGAAGTCCCTATGTAGCCCAGGCTGGCCTGGGTCATGGTTAGTGCCACCATGCCTGGCTTTTTTTTTTTTTTTTTTTTTTTTTTTCAGTGTGTGAAGACTCTGAAGAGATTACACGTGTACGCCACACCTACACACCCTCACACACGATGTGAGCAAAATCAGAGCGAACAGCTGCCATCTGCACTAGGTTTTGAGACAGGGTCTCTCCTAGCCTGGAGCTCACAGATAAGCTATGCCGGAGGGCCGGGGCCCCAGGAACCTCCCCCTCTATCTCCCTCTACTGGAATTAAAGTGTGTGCCACCACACCTGGCCTTTCTGTGGGGTTCTGGAGATTCCCACTCAGCCCCTCGTGCTCATAGGCACGTAGTCCTCGGCTCAATTTAAAGTCATTTCTAATAGCTATGCTCAGTGTGTGCATGTCCCTGCAAACAGGAAATGTGCCAAAGGGGGCCAAGCCACTTCCGCTAAGGACAAGGGTGACAAGCGGCTCTCACGTCGTCATAGGGCTTCATCTTTTTTCTCATTTACAAGAATTTATCATAGTTCAAACATGTTGGGCTGGGCAAGGAGTCCCTTGGTGTGGGGCCCTCTGCTGTGGAGTCAGGGGGCTGGCTGTTACTAGGGTCCTCTTGCTGGTGACACCTTCTGCCACCGTCACCCCACCCTGTCCCACTGAAAGCATTTTCAAGCTGCCCACTGCAATTGCTGCTCCCGCCCTCACCACCACCGTCAGGGAGGACACCTCCCATGGGAGGACGAAGGACTCACCCCCAGCTGCTGCAGCGCCATGCACGCCGCCTGCTGGAGCTTGTCGTCACTGTCATTTAAGGCATTGGTGTAGTACAGCAGAGCCTGGGGGAAGAGACAGGACTAGCCTGAGAGGTCGGGGCAGGTGCAGGGCCCCGGCTGGGTCGAGCACACGGCAGATGCCCCAGTGACCCAGATCCAGCCCCTCTCTAAACAGTCTGGCCCGTGAGGTCTGCTAATCTAGCCAGGTGTATTGACATGAGGTAGACTGACCCAAGAGCCGTCACTAGCCAGCCTTAATAAGTGAACTCCACCAAGCTTTGTCGTTTTTGGTTTGGGGGACAGGGTTTCTCTGGGTAGCCCTGGCTGTCCTGAAATTCCCTCTGTATACCAGGCTGGCCTCGAACTCACAGAAGCCTGCCTGCCTGCCTCTGCCTTCCAATGCTGGGATTAAAGGCATTTGAACTCTGGAATGCATGTAGTAGAGGGAGTAAACTGACTTCATGTTGTCCTCTGACCTCCAAACTGTTGATACGACATGCACTCTATTAATAGATAAATATTAAACATTTAAAGTCACCTCTGAGAAACTAAGCCCAGGCTATGAGCTGGTACTAGGTCTATCCTCGAGGTCACCCTAGTGACTGCAGCCCACATTCATCCTCTTCAGAGCACTCTCAGAGCTCCCCATCACCCACTCTGTATCCTTGCGCACTCAGTCAGGACGCCCTCACACACCGCACCTTTTCCCGGAAGCGCCTGTTCCTGGCCGCACTGGCCAGGCGCGTTCTGGCCATCCTGCACAGCCTCGGGGGTCCATCCAGCTGCAGCAGTGCCCAGGCTCGAAGTGTCTGTGGCAGGGGCTGCAGCTGGCCCAGACGCCTCCCATGCAGCTTCCTCAGGGCCTTGGCTGGGCCAGCACCATGCAGCTCCTCGATGAGAGTAACTGAAAGACAGGAGAGGCAGGTGCCGTTGTTCGTGCCTGAGCCACGGAGGCAACTCCAAGACAGAGGGCCGCCACCACATCCGGACAGACACTTCCTCCAAGTGGACCAGACACACCCTGAAAGCAGAACCATAGGCCAGCCTTAGCACGGTGATCCCAGCACTTGGGAGGCTGAGGCCGGAGGATGGTGACTTGGAAGTCAGTCGAGGCTAGAGTGAGACCCTGGCTCAAAAAGAAACTAGAACTAGCCCAGACTTCTAGGCTGCCACCTCCTCTCCCCAGAACTGCTCAGGACCGCTCACCTCCCTCTTAATTTCCACTACAACCGACTCTGCTCTCACTTTGCCTCAGTTCTGACAGCTGGAGGGCGAGTTACAGGAGCTCTGAATTGTGGCCCAAATCAGTCAACGCACAGAGACCCCGGGGTCTTCCAGGCCATGGCCACCTCCAGGCCCTACCTTCCTTGGTGAGCTGGTTGAGGTGTTTCTCCAGGTCAGCGATGCCTTGCCGCTGCAGGTAGCTGTGGAACTGGAACCAGGTGACCATCTGCTCCTCCTGGAGCCCCGTTGTGCTCAGTAGCCCGCCACAGCCGACCACCTGCTCCAGGAGCCTTCGACACACTGGCAGGGGGAGGGGACAGGAGTGGAACTGAGGCCTCAGCTGGCCTTTCAGTAGACGGGTCTGTCAGCTGAAAGGGACTCTGGGAAAGGGGATCCCTTAGAGTCAACAGATTCCTGGTTCTAGGACCTTCCCTACCCCAGAAGTCGGCAGCATCCGCCAATAAAGTTCACTTTCACTCTGCTCTGGCTGTTTTCCTGTCCTTTAATTCTCCAGTTGGCAGAGAAAAGGAGCAGGCTAGCTAGCCAGTAACCACTACAGTGGACTCTGAATCCCCAGAGCCATAGCCCTGCAAACGTATGGCATCAGGCAGCCCAGAGAGTGGGCAGAACTTTCAGAATTTAAATGCCACCCCTGGGAGCATCAGCCTTCACTTGCTCCACAGGAAAATGCTACAGCTGCCCTCAGGAAGAGCCCAGCCTGATATCAGGATGCCTGGATGGCACCTTGCCTGCATACCTTCCTATAACAGTCCTTGGTGGGAGGCAGAGGGTTTCACAGCCCACTTTCCCAGGGGCAGGGCATCAAAAACATGCACAGAGATAGAGAAGGCCCGACATGTGAGTACCCCAGTTGCAGCCCTGCCCTTCCCCAGGGATGGGGCAAGCAAGGAGGACGCTACCTATTTCCAGCTGGCCGGGGTACTTCCCTCGGACGCGATGTAGGAACGTCTTCTTGAGCTGGCTCAGGAGTGTGGAGGCAGGGCAGGCCAGGACCTCACCAGGCTGCGTGCATCCCCGCCACAGTGCTAGGCCACCCTTCCTGGGAGGGGCCTGTGGGATGACTGAGAGCCAGCAGCTGCTCAGCAGCCTGGGCAGGAGTAACCATGGGTACCAGAAACCCCTCCGCAAGGACCCAGGGTTGGAAGTGAGGGTAGGACACCATTACGGGGACCTCCTCTCAGGCCTGTGTCACCCCCCAAAGGAACAGTGCTGCTCCAGGCACCTTCCTGGTCCCTCACAGATCAACCACACTCACATTCCCCCCCTACCCCCCCCCCCCCGCCATTAGGAAGCTGGACTTCCCAGACAGGCCCACAGGGGCAGACAAAGAACTGAGGTGACCACCATTGCTCCCTGGAAGGGACCCCAGAATGTGGGGGGGGGATGGCTGCAGTGAACCGGCAGTGGCCTCAGAATACAGAGACATGCAGGCATGCAAGCCCAAATAACCCACCCATCGGTGGAGGGGGAGGGAGGCAAGGCCTTGGGCGGGTGGCTGGGTGCTACTTACTCTCTTCAACCGACCTGGCCTTGCTGACCTGCTCAAAGTCAAGGTCTGAAAGCACTTCCAGGACCTGCCTTTGCTGGGCTGCTTCTTCCAGGAGGCAATCCTGGACCATCCGTGACAAATTAGGGGAGGCCAGTTTCTAGAACCAGAGAGATGCTGGGGTTAGCCCAGCATGGATGCCTCTGCCCACAGCTGCCCTGTCCCAGAGGTGGCTCCTAGCCCGTGACTTAAGCTCTTTGGCTGCATCAAGGTGAGCCCCCCAGGGTCAGCCCACCCAAGGACAGCCAGACATCACACACCAGTGGGAAGAGGGTCAGGCCCATCTGACGGCATCCAGACCCCTGGGAGCAGCACTGCCTGAAGCCCCTATTGGACCCTTCCTGTGGTTGAGGCCCTTTGGACTGACTAGCACCTATGCGTGGCTATCAGAACCTCCCACTGGCTTCAGGCCTTGGCTCCCCGAGGCCCATGCCGTTCCCTACCTCCTGCCTCAGAGCCTCCATGGCACTCAGGGTGGCTTCCTTCCTCCCCGGCCCCAGACTTTCCCACTTCTGAGTCCCCACCCTGGGCCAAGCTCCACCCGGACACCTGCAGCAGGGCCTGGCAGACTTGTAGGTGGACAGTAAGCAGCATATCCAGCTCAGGGGTACCAGTTGTGAGCTCGCCGGCTGACACCTTCAATGACGGCCGTGGGGGTGGGGGGCTGTCTCTCCTGGGGAGACAAAAGAACTCCGTGACCATTGGGCTAGCAAAGGGACCCCTTCCCCAGCACCACCCCAACCCCCAACTCCAGAATGGAGACTGGGTTCCAGGCACAGGGGTTCAGTCGTGGAAAGGGAAAGAAAGTTGGCTGGAAATCAGACAGGTGTGGAAGGCAGGGCTTCCCAGGGGGCCTGAGGCTGTGACTCTGGTTGGTTGCCGGAGGCTCGTTTTGCTCTTTGGTGAAGTGGACAGGAAACCTAGACTTGGGGCTGGTATCATGGCTCACAACGCAGAGCTGAGCCCCTTCAAGGCCCAAGTGGCTCGCCACACTCGGAAAGGAAGCAGGCTTGGAATCTCCCTGGGGGAACTACTGGGTTTGAGAAAGAAGCAGAGACCATCCCCTTCTGAAGTGCTGAGATCTGGGATAGAAGTGGCCCTGGGCCCTGGGTGATCAAGGTAGGTGGTAAGGCAGAATGAGATGGATGGTGGTCCAGAGGGAGTGGCGGGCACATAGGTCAGTCAGTGTGACAGCCACTGAGGTCAAGGTCAGGGTTTTGTTGTGTGCTACTGCTATCACTGCCTGAGATCCCTCCCCTTGGTGGCCATGAAGGCTTGCTGTGTGGGGACAGTGACATGGAGAGAAGTCACCATGCACAGTAAAACCTCTCATTATAGGCCAAGGACTTAGAGACTAGCATGGAGCTGCAGCAGTGCAGAGGCGTCCCCCCTGGGGGTTCACTCACTCAGGAGCCTGGGAGCCCCCAAACAGGGACAGCTCATCACTGGCAAGGTCGGCACTCAGAAAGGCAAAGCTCTCAAGGATACAGTCCATCAGGGTCTGCGCTGACACAGGCTCCGGCTGCACCCCTCGGGGCTGTGGACAAGCACCAGGATGAGGCTCTTGCCCTCCCCACCCAGCCAGGATGTGACAGCCCCCTCCCCAGTACCAGCCCAGCAACGGCGCAAGTCTCAGCAGGATGAGCCTGGATGTGGTACTTCCAGTGTTCCACCAACACGGCCTGAGACAGTGGGAGGTCACCAAGGAGACAGATCTTGGTGACAGTTCTCACTTTGTCACCGACACCCATCGGACAAGCCATGGGTCAGGGCTTCTCCCACGAGGAGGCGCCACTCTATCCCAGCTGACACCTGCCCCTGCACTAAAGCCCAGCAATGGCTCCTTTCTCAGCAAATCCGGAAACCTGTTCTGCCCTCCTCCTGATGAGATTCAGAAGCTGTGGGTGAGCTGTGAATGGGGAGGCCTGCGGGAGCCACCAGAGACCTTTCTCCACACCAGGGCTACCCTGCAGGGATAGGGTCCCAGTACAGCAGGCCTCAGTCCACACCAACCACGCCCCAAGAATGAAGCCCTGAAGCAGGCATTCACAGCTGAGCCCACAGGGAAAAAAAAAAAAATCCTTGAGCAACAACAAAATAATAAGCCTGACCACAGTGACTTGACTTCCATTAGAACAAAACTCTGCAAGCACATGTGTGTGCATGTATGTACACAGACTCGGGGATACACTGGGTTCTCATGATTTGAGGTAAGTATGTCAGCAGACTAGCAAACGCTGAACCCTTAGGGCCACACTGCAAATTCCCAGCCAGTGAGTATAAGGTCCATTTCTGTTTAAAAACTGGTTTTCTTTTCCTTTGTGTGTGTGTGTGTGTGTGTGTGTGTGTGTGTGCGCGCGCAAAGGGGCCACACAAGGACAACCTCGAGTGTCATGCCTTAAAGGCTGTCCCCCTTGCTTTCTGGTTTGTTTCAGTTTTGAGGCAGGGTCTCTTATTGCCAGTCAGGCTACACTAGCAGCCCACCAAGCCCCAGGGACCCTCCTGTCTCCACCTCCTGACCTCTGAGGAGCTAGCCACCAGGCCTGCCCTTTCTTTATGTGGTGGTGGTGGTGGGGGGGTCAGGTCCTCATGTTTGTTTGCATAGCAAGCACTGACTGAGTTGTGTCCCAGCCCTGAGGACCGCTCATGTAGTCGATGATGTCTTTTGTCAGCCGTGGGTGCTCCACACCTCCTGCTCGAAGGAAGCTCTTCGGACTCTCAGACTTTCACCACTGGGCATGCTGGGGCTTGTGCCTGGGGCCCTGAGCCTGCAAACAGCCCTACGCCTGGGGCCAGACACAGCAAGCGTGCGACCATCGGCACAGGTGGCGTGTCACATGACGGCAACTGGGGAAAGAGTGGCAGTCGCAGCCACTCGCCTCCCCTCAGTGGGGGGCGGAGATGCACATTGAACAATTTGGATTTTCTTTCCTCAAAAAAATGATAGCAGAGCCTGTGCGTCGATCCCCATCCCGGGACTGCACGTGACTCTTTGCGAGGAGATGAGTTTCGGGAGAATGAGAGGTGATTGACCGAGTGCACAAGCATGTGTGTGTGTGTGTGAGAGAAAGAGACAGATGTACACACGCGTCTACATACATGTAGGAGGCTGGAGAGAGGGCTCAGTGCTTAGGAGCACTGACTACTCTTGCAGCGGACCTGGGTTCAATTCCCAGCATCCACATGGTGGCTCAAAACCATCTATAACCTGAGCTCCAGGGGACCAGGCGCCCTCATCTGACACATGCATATACATACAAATACACTCACATATAAATAATAATAAATGTATGTGAGTTAGCCAAGCGTGGTGTTACACACATGTCTTCCTAGCCACTGGAGGCTGAGGTGAGAGGATCAGGAGTTCAAGGCCAGCCTGGGCCTCTTAGCAAAACTGAGACCATTTCTTGAAATTGGACAGGTGAGTTGAAAAGGTATCAACATCTCACTAGCCACTGATATATAAGTTACTTTAAGCTTTATTTTTTAAGATTTTTTCTTTATTTACTTATTATGAGTGCTCTATCTGCATGTACACACCAGAAGAGGGCACCAGATCACATTACAGATGGTTGCGAGCCACCCTGTGGTTGCTGGGAATTGAACTCAGGACCTCTCGAAGAGCAGCCAGTGTTCTTAACCTCTGAGCCATCTCTCCAGCCCCCTGAGACCATTTCTCAAGAAGTGAAGTCTATGGCCATTCTGTGGATGAGCACCGCCCCCCTTAGAAGTCCAGCTGAAGGAGGGACCGCTCCTTGTCTTATTGTCCTTATCTGTTTTCTAAAAAAGAAAAGTGTCTCGGGGTTTTGAATGACTGTGCTATTACAAAGCGCACGTGATTCTTCAAAGCACAGGAGTGTGACAGAAGCTGTGTGCCTGCGACTCAGACTGTTTCACACATAAATACTGGACAAGTACAAATCATAGTGGCATTCTTCCTCAAATTCCTGTTCCTGGAACGTGTGGGCAGGGTCTTTTTAAGGTGGCAGCAGTAGATTCTGAGACACTGGACAGAGGACGAAAAGTGGAGCCTTCTTTCAGCTGTGCTGATGTGAGAATGGGAGGTCCGGGTGAGAATAAAACAGACAGACAGACAGACAGAGATGGAAGAGGCCTATGTTGTATAGCTCTGAGAGGAAAAAAAAAAAGTGTCATCAACACCTGTAGAAGTTGGCACGTGTGATCTACATTTTATTTTATGAATTTAAAAATGTAAACAAAGAGAGCCATCGGTCGAGGCCAGCAGCTCTAAGAGCCACTGCAGGTGGCCAGAGAGCTGAACAGCCACCGAGGGGAAGCTTCTGTGTGGCCGTAGAGATGAGGTGGGCAGCTGGCTACAAAGCCTTCATGGATTCAGCTCTGGCCCAATGTTCTCAACCCTAAATTGTACCCCTCAAGACCCACCCACATCAGAAGCTTCTCGATGGAGCCAGGTTATGGCAAGACACAGAGCAAATTACTCACTGTGCGCTCCGGCCTCCCCTTGGTATTCTCTTTCTAGGCCTTGAAAAGTGAGAGCACTGAAGATGAGAGAGACTCGGCCCACTGAGGGGCGAGGCTGGGATGCTAAGGTGGGCTGGCAGGCCCCTGCACCTGCTCCTAGGCCTCGGGCCTGCAGCGAAGCGGGGCTGCTGTCCAGTGCACGGTGGACATACCTTCAGCCGGTCCCTGAGGCCGAGGACTTGGTACTCCAGCTCCCTGAGCTGAGGCTGCGCAGCATCTGCAGACCGCAGCAGGTCCAGGACCTCCTGTACCGGCCCCTCCACTCCGTCCCCCACATCTCCATCCTCCTGGCCCTTCTGTCTCTGTGGCACCTCAGGGCTCTGGGTGGGAGCATCTTCCAACAGGGCCGGCCTCTCTCCTCCCAAATCCCTCCAGCCCGGCCGTTCTGCAAGCACAGCCCCGGCTGGGTGAGCCAAGCCTGGCAGCAGGCCTGGAGGCGGGGGCTCCTCCCTGCTCTCCTCTTCTTTGCAGGCTGTGGGGCCCGCAGGAACGGGTAGGAACCCCACATCTGAGGTGGACGCTGAAGTGCTGGTCTCAGCGTCTCTGGGGTCCTCGGAGCTGAAGGAGTCCATCTCCAGGAGCTCCTGGCTCCGGCTCCGCAGGGGGGCGCCCTGGAGCTCACTGTCAGATAAGTAGCCGAGGATGGAAGTGGCCCTTGGCCCACCTAGCAGGAGGGCCTGCTGCATTGGCTGCTGGAGGACAGACTGGGAGGGGACACAGGAGCAACCTCAGCAGCTGCCCCAGGGACTGTGCTGAGACCCCTCCCCCCCACCTCCCACCCCGCCCCTGTGCCCAGATCTGCCAAAGTGACTGGCTTCCAGAGGTGCCACCCCCTACACCCCCCTAGCTCTCCCTTCCAGCTTCAGCTTCACTGTTTCATCCTTGCCATGCCCCTGCCTCAGGACCTTTGTGCTGACTGTGCATAGAGACCAAAGCAAATGGAAAGGGGGCCACTGGAGCACTTAGGGCATCCAGGGGTTTGGGAAGTTGTGGCATATGAGTTGGGACCCTCATCAGGGCTGAAGGCATGTGTGTAGGGCGGTTCCAGGGCCTGAAACCCTGCATGGCTGCAAGCTTGGGCCAAATGTTCCCACTGAAGATTGGATAGCCCAGCACTGAGGTGACCTCAGTGTCTGTTGAGTAAACACACAGTGGGGGGGAGGGGCGTTTATTAATAAAGGTCCCTTCGAGTGAGGAGGACCCATCCCAAAGAAAACACCAAGAGAAATGCTAAGGGTGCCTGTGCGTATAGCATTTAGTGACCCCCCCCCCCAAGGGAAGAGAAAGGAGAGGAGGGTGGCCCTGGCTCCTAGGGTTCCTGGCCCCTGGAGATCATGGGGAAAAAGTTGCTTTCCTGTACATGGCTCTAGATCACTCTCCTGGAAGCTCTTAAGTTACCTCAACAAGGTGAGGCCAAGGCCATGGCTGGGCAGAGGACACACATACACACACACACACACACACGCACACACACACACAGAGAGAGAGAGAGAGAGAGAGAGAGAGAGCTGCTAGGTGCCAGCACCAGCCCAAGTCCCATGACCTCAAGCAGCAGAAGACAGAGCCACACAGCCCTGCAGCCCCGAAAGCTGAACCCCAAGCATGCCATGTCCCTTGCTGCTCGGCCCATCTCTCACACTTACCAGGTAGTATTTGTCCCGGAAGCTGGGGGTGCTGGGGGGCGTCCAGGTGTACAGGGAGCCCTTCCTGCTTCCTATGGAAAACCTGCCAGTGGGGCTGGGTGACACCAGCCGACACTCAGAGTCCAAGGGGCTACAGGGAAAAAGCAGAGACCATCAGGGACTCAGAAGGGACCCGGAGCTCCGCAGTTCCAGGCAGCTGCCTTGTCTTTCAAAGTAACTTATGCAAGAGCTCTGATGATCTTTCCACAGACCCAGGGGCTGGTGGGAGTTCTGTGGCTGGGTTATTTACATGGGTTGGAATGATGGCTCCCAGACAAGAAATTTGCCTGGGCAAATGTCCCCTCCAATAAGAGGGGCCAGCCCTGAATTTGCCCCACTTTTCTCTCATCCCAAAGCCTTCAAGTCAGCTAGGCCTGACTGTCGTGACTGATGCTCACGACACCCTCCGGATATAGTGGACTAGGCTCAGGGGTAGAGGTCAAGGAGGCCAGGGGGCAGCATGGGCCCCAGCTGAGGAGTACACCAAACCCACCAGGGGGGCCTGAACCCCAGAGACCTGCAGTACCTCCTCCACCTGAAGGAACCTGTGACCAGCAGGACTCAGGGACATGAGAGTGGCTTGAGCACATCCTAGATGACTGAGCCGGGCTATGTTCTCAGCTCTTTCCCACCCTGCCACACCTGCTCTGGGGACAGGAAAGAGACGCACTGGAAGTGCAAGATGGCTCTGCCACTGACAACAGAAACTCCAGAGACCACAGGTTCCTGAAGTTGGAGCCCCAAAGCCAACATAGACTGTTCTGAGCCTGGACCTCACAGTCTGGGCCCTAGAGGAGCTCCTCAGGGTGACAGCTCAGCCCTGGACTGGAAAGGATGAGAGCCAGCAACAGGAGGCATGGGGAGAAGGCCTATGTGGGCAGAGAGAGCCCCTCTGAAGGACTAGGTGAGCCCTAGAGAAGGTCCTGGCTCAGCTATAGCTGCCAGAATGTGAGAGTGGAATTCAAGGTCCCAGGAGGCATGGAGGAAGAGGGGACAGGGCTGCTGTAAAGGTCAGGCCAGCCTGGCTTTTGTTAGGATGGGTGAGGACAGGGATGGCCGTAGAGGAGCAGGTCTGGTGTGTATCAGGCCCCTATTGAGCAGACAGGACCACTCGGCTCCCCTGCACCCAGAGCTGGGGAGGCCTTGGTGAGGGCAGGTTGGCACAGTGGTTCTCACTTCCACAGCAGCTCCAGCTGCAGCTTGATGGTTCCCAGCTCAGTGATGTCCACCACCACAAGCTGGGGCCGGGCTGTGAAGAAGTCCGCGGTGTCACACGCCACAGCGCCCACCACCATGGAGCTCAGGCCTCGAAGCTCTGTCACCTGGACGGGAGGGACAGGATGGTGGTGTCTGAGCCAGGCAGCCAGGCGCCAGGCCCTGCCCTGGGTCCGGCCCCACCTTGATCTCCAGGTGCTCATGTACAGTGGGCACAAAGGCCCTCTCCTCCTCGTCCCAGGTCTGGCTGTCATCCGGCTCGATCCGGCCCTTCAGCCGCCACCGCTGACGGCCCAGGCGCATGAGCACCTGCAAGCGAGGCACAGGAAAGGATGCAGGGAAACCCCCTCACTGTCTGCCAGGGGAACCCCCTCCCAAGCCCAAGGGCCTGAACCTCCAAGGCCTTCCCTGGCTGTACCTCATACTGGTCTCCAGGACAGAGGCGTGCATAGCCCACCAAACCTGGAACACAGAAATAGGCTAGTCTCTACCCCTGCCTGGGGACCACGGGGACCCTGAGGTACAGGGGTGTGCTGGCCAACATGGGAAGAACAAGAGGTTCCGATGTTCAAGAGGGTAGAGGGCATCACGGCGTACTTCAGAGAGCGTCAACAGTCAGGGCTGGTCTCCAGACCCTGGGACTCTGGCCCACACGGTTCACCCTTAACAGGCACTTAAAAAGATCTGCCACCCAGCCCAGCCCCACTTGGTGCTCACCTTTCATCCTGACATGGAACTCGCCCAAGTGAGCTTCCAAGGCCCCCTCTATGAGGCACATGTCCTGCAAGGCCACAAGTAGATCAGCCCTTTCCCTGGCCGGCCCCAGCCCCTACCCAGGACCCCAGAGCAGGGGCGGAGAGAAGCGGCTCACCTCCATGCACTCCTGCAAGCTGCGGCCCAGCTCCTGCAAGCTCTCTCGGGAGGCACGGCTCGGGGTGCTGTTGCTGAAGGCGCGCTGCATGTTGGAGGCACCATCTCGAAGACGCCACTGGATACAGTAGCCTTCATGGAGCTCGTCTACCTGCGGCAGACAGGAAGGCTGTGGGCCACACCCAGGGACAGCCCATGGCCACCCCACCATCTGTTCCTCCGAGAACTCTCTGCTATCCTGGCCTCTCACTGTGGAACTCATGGCTCTAAGCCCACCCACTTGACACCCCAGCATCTAAGATCACTCAGCCACACTCGGAGCACACCCTGCTGGCCTGAGTCCCAACTGTGGAATGGAATGTGAGCTATGATAGCTGTTTGCAAACTGACTATCACAAAAAGAGCCTAAGCTGGGTAATGGTGATGCACACCTTTAATCCCAGGACTTGGGAGGCAGAAGCAGGGGGATCTCTGAGGCCAGCCTGGTCTATAGAGTGAGCTTCAGGACAGCCAAGGCTACACAGAGAAATCCTGTCTCAACCCTCAACCTCTCTCCGAAAGAAAGAAAGAAAGAAAGAAAGAAAGAAAGAAAGAAAGAAAGAAAGAGAAAGAAAGAAAGCTTAAGCCCAGTGTGGTGGTGCACGTTTTTAATCCCAGCCACTCAGGAAAGCAGAGGCAGGCAGATCACTGTGAGTTTGATGTTCAAGGCCAGCATGGTCTACAAAGTGAGTCCAGGACAGGCTACACAGAGAAACCCTGTCTCTAAAAAGTAATGAAAAGCCTAAAGGAAGGTAAGAGTGCTTGCACACAGCTTTAATCCCAGTACTCAGGAGGCAGAGGCAAATAACTCTCTGTGAGTTCAACTCCAGACTGGTCTATGTAGTGAGCTCTAGGACAGCCAAGGCCACACAGTAAGACCCTGTCTCAAGAAGAGGAAGGAGGGTGGGAGAGGAGGAGGAGAGGCAAGCCTAGGGGACTTGCTTGGGCACTGTGGGCACATCCCTCCACCTTCCTTTCTATACAGGGATGGTTAGAGCCTTCCAAGACCAAGCCACAAGCCCTCTGTACCCATAAGCCCAGGACACCTGGACATTCCTTACACCCAGCTCAGGGCTGGACCTGCTGTCAGTCACTGCAGCTCTGCACCACTCTCTACCCCAACTCTCTCCAGCTACCCACGACACCCAGCCCGACACCCCCATGGTATCCAGCGACACCCACATGGCTCCCTGGGATACCTACGTGATGCCCCCACTAGCCCCCTTGACACCCTCCCCATAACACCCCCATGATTCGGAAGCCACCCACCTTGCTGATGTGGAACTCCACCTTCCGGATGTGTCTCTCCACCAAGCGCATTTGCTTCTCCCGGAAAAGAAAAAGCTGCTTTAGAATCGGCCAGGTTCCCACGGCTTCACCCCCTCCCCAGGAGCAGGGGACTGGGCTCAGATCTCAAAGGGGCTTGCCTTGGGACTCAGTTTCTCCACTTGTAACATAAGAGGATGCCCAGGTGTTCTGCCCAAGGGCTAGCTCAGGCAGTCTTACCTACCCTGGAGACCTCACAGGGACATGGGCTTACCTTGTCCAGATCGTAGTAGAAGGCCTGAAGAGAAAGGAAGTGAGTGTCAGAGTCCCAGAGACCTCTCATCACGGGGGTTGTCGGGGGGAACCTGAGCTTCAAGGACAAAGCCAATGCCTGCAGCCTGGCCTGCTCGTGGCCATGGGCATCCAAGGGAAAATGAATTAAACACATGCATTGTGGGTAAGTCAGTTCTGGATCTGGCACTATTTCCCTGTGTGTCCCAGGCACGTTTCTTAGCCTCTCTGAGCCTCCCTTTCTTCCTACGGGAAAATGGGCAGCAGGCTTTGTAACCGTCAGTATCAATTTGGCAGGCCGGGCAGTGGTGGCACAGGCCTTTAATCCCAGCACTTGGGAGGCAGAGGCAGGTGGATCTCTGAGTTCCAGGCCAGCCAGGTCTGCAGAGTGAGCTCCAGGACAGCCAAGGCTACAGTACAGAGAAACCCTGTCTGGAAAGTGCCAAATCAACCAACCAAAACCAAAACAAAACAAAAGAGCGTGTCTGGAAAGGAGTTTCTGGATGACTGGGTTAATTGGGCTGGGAAGACAGACCCTAAAATGAGTGTGGGTCATCCCAGAGGCTGGAGTCCTAGGCTACATAACAAGGAAAGAGCCAGCAAAGCAGCCGCTTCCATCCTGCGCTGCCCTCTGACCCAAGATGCGGTGGACTGCCTCACCCACCTGATTGTTGTGCCTTGAGCCAAAATGAACCCTCTCTCTCCTAAGTTATCTCATCACAACAGGGAGTAAAGTAGTAGCCACATGTGTGACTACAGAATCCGAATTTCAGCTAAGAAGTGAAGCGCTGGGCCAGCTGGATGGATCATGGCTGCCGCCAAGCCTGCTGACCTGAGCTTGCTGCCTCGGACCCGAGTGCAGGAGGAGAGAACTGTCCCCCACAGCTGTCCGCTTAGCCCCACAGGGCACTGAGGCAGCTGTGTGCCTGCTTTGCCTCCTCTCCCTCACATCAGTCAGTCAATCAATACACCACATTAAAAACTAAAATGAAGAGCTAGAAAGGGCCTGAGATTTGAAAAGGTGTCCTCAATTCAGGCTTTTGGGAAACCCGCAAAACCCTCCTCCCTGTGGGCTCCAGGCTCCCTGTCCTAGATGCGGGGGTCCCCAGCCTTTCCCGACACCAGTGTAACGTAGAGACAGGCCTCTATACATTGTCTGCCTGAGCGAGACTCCTGTACCCCGGAGAAAGGGCACAGTGTGGGAACAGCCGTGCTCCCTGGGGGGAGAGGCGGGGCTAGGAATGGGTGGGGTCTTAGAAGGGCCTCTCCCTCCCTCTGTTCCAGCCATCACCCTGTCGCCTACCTAGGGAGGCTCCAAACTCAACCAGCTCTGCTTTCCCATGTGGCTGACACCCACATGAGACTGGGCCTTCCACCCTGCCGACACCCAAAGGAAGCTGAGGCAGCTTTGATATTCAACCCACTGTCTTCTCCCTTTCTCCCAGCCCCATAGTGAGGAACCTACGTGAGGCTGAACTTAGAGGAGAGACAGAGGGACACAGCTTGGGAGGAGAAGTCCAGAGCATGACAAGACATGGCAGCTTTGCTCCTGCGTGTGGCCCAGGCAGGCTGGGTGACAGTCCCCCAGGCAGCAGCTGGTGCTGTATCTGCTTTGTAAAATAAAGAAGGTCTAAGGAGACACAGTGTGTCAATACTGTGTCAAGACTCTCCAACTGTTGAGGAGACACATCAGAGAAAGGGGGATTTCTTAGGAAGTTCACCGTGGGAGAAGGAAAAGGACTCTAGCCTGATGAGGGGACTTGTCTTCTCAAAAGATATTTCCCACAGTTCCCCAGGATGACTGAAGCCCAGACTCAATGGTGGGTGGGGCCACATCTTGACCAGAGCTGCTTAGATGTGCAAGCCCCTGGCCTCTGTTTAAACTCTGATCTCACTTCAGGGCTGGTGGACTTTGGGGGTGTCTCCTGAATCTCTTTGCTCCTCTTAACACATTGGCTAAATCTCCTTTTTCTGCTTTCCTGTGTTAAGTTGGCTCTTCTGATTGGCTTCCTAAGGGTGGGTGGCCAGATCAGACTCAGGAGTGTGAGGGGATCAGAGGGACCAGAGACAGGGACAAGGGGTTCGTTGCTGGAGTGGATGTGCCTAAGGAGGTAAAGTAGAGGGCACCCACTGATGACTTAAGCTTCTCACAGGGTCAGAGACTCAGAGCAGAAAAGGTTGCTGCTTGTCTGAAAATCAAATTTCACTGGGCGTCCTGGCATTTTGTTGTTTCGGTTGGTTTTTGATACACTGGGCAACAGACAAATCAAGAGTCCATAAGCCCTACACCAGCCAAGGCTGGGTTTGGCCTCAGCCCACACCCTGATGTCCACAGAAAACCATCACCCAGGACCATGCATGACATACTGGGGCCGGGGCAGGGCCTGTAACACTCAGAGAAATGGCCACTTTCCTGAGTAACATAAGCTGCCTGGCCCCGGAGTGTCTAATGGCCAAAATTTGAGGAATGGGATCATGAACCTCTGGTTGACTGACAGCTCCTCCAAGAGCCACGAGAGGAAAGGTCACCACAAATACCACAGGCCTCTGGGTGGAGACCTCCGACTGTCTTTCGGCTGGGCGGCTGCTATGAGCAGCACCATCCTCATCCCGGCCACTCACCAGCCTGGAGCTCCTCTGGGTGTCCGTGTGGCGTCCGCACAGGTAGTCCAGTTCGGCCTGCTGTTCACACAGGTGCTCCCTACGGTGGACAGGGAGGCAGATCTGAAGAGAATGGAGGAGTCTGGCAGCCCTTACAGCCTAAGGGTTGACAGCTCGCCTCCTGGGGATTCCTGTTACCCCCGAACCCCACAAATCAGTCAAGCTGTTACCAGGCACATCATGAAGACAGACACATGGATCCTGGCAGTCAGGGGGAGGTTGGGAGGGGGACCCTGAGTTGAGGAAGGCACAATGGATAGAAGAGGAAGGGAGGCAGAGACAGAGAGAACAGGTAGAAGGCTGACGGGAGGGAGATGAGACCATGGGCCCAGGGGGAGGAAGGAGGGAGGACCCAGGGGGAGGAAGGAGAAGGGACCCAATGAAATGCTGAGCAGTGGAGCCAGCAGCTGAGGATGAGAGCGGCACCTGGGAAGGAAAAGTCCCTTCAAACGACACGACAACCCTGGGCTGGGCTCACTCTTAAGATGTTCAATCAGGACAGCTGACCTGATGTTCAGTCCAGTCTGTCTGACCATACTCTCTGGGCTCTGCCCCTCCTGCCTGCTCCAGATAAGAAGGGGCCCTCCAACTCAGAACCCAGGGTGCTGCAGGGGGCTTGGAGTGTCCCAGGTGGACGACAAGGAAGCAGGCATCCAGATCTGCCTAGCCAGGCCACCCCTTTCCCCAGCATTCCTTCCCTCCTCAAGGCCTCAAGGCCAAGGATACACACCTGTTTCAGGAGGGTCTGCAGCCCAAGCAGGGCCTTCCAGTCTCTGAGAGCATTAGCCTTACCTACCCTGAGAGCATCATCTAGGCTAGGAGGTGGGTTTTGAAAACTGCTCCTTTCAGGGCTCCTATCCTCCATTCTCGTGGCTCAGGGTGGTCTCTGGTGAGGGTGGAGAAGGGGACATGCTCTCTGCTCTCACATTAGGGGACTTAGGTGCCACTGCATGTGGGAAATGCCTCCACAGGCCATTCTCTTGTTGTAGGCCAAGGTGTGTCCTTCCTGCTGTGACTGTTCCTGCCCAGTCCCCAGCAACATGGTTCTCTCTGTCTGTCTCTGTCTCTCTCTGTCTCCCCCCACACACACACCCTGGGTTTATCTTATCAAGATCAGTTTACTGAGTGAGATCAGCTGCCCCAGCAGAGAAGAGACCCAGATGAACTTGGTCTGTGCAGACCCAGCTCTCCCAGCTGGGACACCGGTGCCCCCCTTAGACCACGCTCAGCGGTTACGCGGCTGAAGCCCGGTGACATCCAGCTCTACTCAGAATAAAACCAAACTCCTCTGCCTCGGTCTCCGCAGCTACCTGTCTCCCCTCTCCCCTTTCCTTGCCTGTACCTCGACATCCTTCCCGGTGTGACCCAAACCCATTCTGTCTCCCTCTCACCCCAACCCATGTGGCAAGTCCACCACCAGGCCGCAGCTGCCAGAGGATCTTGAAGCCCAGGCTTGAGGGCCCGGTCACCTCCTCCCTCAGCGCAGAAAATTTCCTGGCTCTGTGATGAACAGCAAAGGCCGCCCACTGCTCACACAGACTTGGAGCATTGTCTCATTGTCCCTGCCTCTCTTGCCCCGGAGGCCCTGAACTCTGAGGCTTCTGGCCTTCTCGTTATCCAAACACGACTCACCTCCTCCCCTGTGGCCGTGCTGTATGCCGGGGATGCCCAGGACGGCCCCTTTAAAACACATCAGACTCCTTCCTGCCTCACCCGATTTCTTCTGCAGCACCTACACCACCTGACATATGTCTCAGTACTGCTGTCTGTCTGTCTGTCTGTCTGTCTGTCTGACAGTACCACACAGAAGGGCTTTCTGACTGGTGTACTCCTTAAGCGCCAAGAACTCATTTGTTCCCCCCTCTGCCCAGCCGATTGTCAGTCTCTGGTCCAGGTTCCCCACACTGCCTGACCTCCCACTGCTGTGTGAGCTCAGATTGGAGCACAGACCCCGGCCAGAACATGCCACCCCCTGTGCCCAGGACGGTGCTGACAGCTCTGTCTTTCCCATCCTTGGCAGTCTCAGCCCCTGTGTGACGATCCACCCACCAGGAGACCCCGTGACTGCCTGCCTCCTTTCCTGCTGCAGCTGAGGTGGCAGCTGTGACTGCCGAAGCAGCCAGATGCCCTCTGTGTCTCCCACACAGTCCCACAACCCCCAGGAAGAGGTGGGACAGGCATGTGCGGGAGGAGTCGCTCCCCACTCACCTGAGGCCTCTCTTCAAAGCATCAAAGATTTTCTTCACTTGCTGCGGCCGGGGGTCCAGACAGAGTGAGGCCTTGCGCAGCGTGCCGTAGGCCTTGGAGGACTTGGCCGGCAGCCGTGACCGCATGGAGTTCCTGTTGATGGACTTTCTGTGGGAGGGGACAGAGAGTCAGGACAGCTGGCTGGGTTCCACGTCCATCACCTCCAAGCTTCGTGGTCTTCAGAAGGCTGAGGTTCTTGGAACCTCAGTTTCCTCATCTGGAAAACGGGAGGCCTGGGTTTGACGATGAAGAGGACTACAACAAAACCTCGGTATCAGAAACGAGCTTCCAGTGAGGGTGCCACAAAGCAGCCGGACTCCATGAGTGGCATGCTCCATGTAGGCAAAGCAGCCCTGGAGGGGCTGAATGCTAGCCCCAGGGTCCCAGGGCACAGGCACCTACTCAGCTCTCACCTCTCCAATGGCCTTGCCTCAGGGATCGCCCCCCCAGCTCTGTTCTTTTACTTGGTATTAAAGAAAGTGGCTGTGATCGTTGTAACTGTCAAACCAACACCACGTATCACCAACCACATGGGAAGAGAGTCTCGGTGAGGACTTGTCCAAATCATATTGGCTAGTGAGCATGTCTGGGGCTGGGGGGTGGGGGGGTTTGATGGCCTTAATTGGTATGGGAAAAGCCAGCTTGAAAGTGGGCGGTGCCATTCCCTAGGCCTGGGCCCTGGAGTGTGTAAGAGCAGAGAAAGCTGAGCAGTCGGTGTACAAGCATCCCTTTCTCTCTGTTCTCTACTATGGAGGTGACGTGACCAGCTGCTTCAGGCTCCTGCTGCCTCAACTTCCCTCCTGTGATGGGGTGTAACCCGGAGCTATAAGCTGAATGCTCCTTTTCTCCCCAAAGTTGCTCTTTGTCAGGATGTTTTAGCACAGCAACAAAAACACAGCCTGGACAGTGACCTATCGTGTCTGTGCGCATGCGTGTATGTGTGCCCTTGATCTGACAGGGGCCAAGGACTAGGTGGGCAGCCTTCAGCTTCACTTTCAGTTCCCCTCAGATCTGGTGGTCTTCATTGTTCCAGCCTCAGAGCCTCAATCTCATACGACACCGGATGCAACCGTGTCTAGAAGCAACGCCAAGTTGGTTCGTAAAGGGAAGCCACTCGGCCTTCTCATCAGCTCCATCCACTCAAGGAGACAGGAGTCTGGATGCTAGGGGCAGGGAGGAGCCATTGCCTGAGCGAGGGGAGGACCTAGAAGGGTGGTCCTGGGCAGCCTGGAGGGGAAGACCCCACCCCCAACCAGACCCATCATTCATGACTGTTGACTTCTGAGCAGAGGGGATAAGAGCTTTTTTAAGCTTCTGCCTTCCTTAGTCAAAGCAGCTTCCCTGGTCTAGCACACACCCCAAGCCTCGATTTTGTCAACTGTAAAACAGGGAAGCTGATACCCCAGTTCTGTAATTGGCACGTGAAGGCCAATCATTCGTTTGACCTGTGTGAGCTAATCTGAACGACTTGCATCCCAGCCGTGGCTCTCCTGCTCTGGCACCTTGATAATAGATGCTCAGCTAACAGCGTGCCTGAAGCAGGGAAGGCTACAGCCATAATGGCCGGAGGGCAGAGAAACATGGGTGGGAGGGCCAAGTCCCTACCCCTGCTCCAGGAACACGAGCCCCTAGTGGCCCAACCCCCCTCCTGGGGGGGGGGTGTCATAATTCACATCTGAAGGCAGAGGACTGGATCTTGGGCTAGCAAGCCAGGCAGGGGGCGGGGCACGGAGACTTGGCTCTGCTCCATCCAGCCCTGAGAAAAGCCATGAGGCTGGGTTCCGGCTGGGTGAGATGCTGAGCATTCCACAGGTGGGAGACAACACAAACATGCAGCTTACTCAAGCCACGTCGGCTCGTCGCCCTGCTTTGGGATCAACCCACACCCCCAAGTCCCTGAAACTGACAATCTGGTACCATACCAACCCACCCCAGCCTTGGGGGAGGGGGCTGTGCCCCAGTACTCAAACCCCAGCCCCACAGCTCCAGGCACTTAACCCACTCTGCCTCAGTTTCCTCGCCTGTGGAGGGGGTGCTAACGCCTGTCCCTTGACTTGCCATGACAGCCTCTTAGCAGATGAGTCCCCACAATATAGCAACCGCCATTTCAGGGGCTGGGCTAGGACAGAGTAGTAACCAAGACAGACAGACACCTGCCCTGAGAGATACAAGGCCACCTCCAAGCCGTGTGGCCTTGGGTGATGGAGTCTCTCTGGTTTCAGTTGTCTCTCTGTGAAAAGGAGTCCAAGGCTGGGACTGCCACAAAGGCTCTACAGGCTGATAAATGCAAAGAACTCCAATCGGTGCCTGGCAAACAGCAGGGACCACATGAGTGTCAAAGTTGAAGAGATAAGGTTAGAACAAACTTGTCAAATAGGACCTGACGCTGGGAAGAAAATAGAAAAGCAAAGTGGGCAGGGAGGGGTGGCTCCCCAGCAGCAGCTGGGAGAGGGAATGGCACCTGGTGCTCTGTCCCTGGTGCTGGTATTCACACAGATGACAGAAGAGTGACTCTTCAAAGCCCTCTCCCCTCCTCGCTCCCTCCCCAAGGCCATATCACCCACCTCTTGGACCGGGCCCTCCACAAAGTTGCCATCTCAGGCACGAATAGGCCACACTGCAGACAGGGGGACAGGTGGGTCCTGGCAGATGAGGGTCCAGGTAGCCAGAGGACAGTGAGGTGGGAGGTGGTGCTGGGTGGAGCTGCAGCTCACCTCAGGGGTCACCTCAGGGGTCTACAGTCCCTGAAGTGTGCCCCTCAGCCTACCCCTCCCCTCTCCCTCTCCCTGGGCTCTGGAGCTTCTGAGCCCAGCGCTGGCTCTGGGCATCTGAGGGCAGTGGCTCCGAGGGCTGGCACAGCGCAGCCTGGATGGTGAAATGAGGTGCATGCTGCATGGCTGGCTGGTGTCACGGGCTCTGGGGCAGCTCTGGGGGCGGATGTGTCACCAGCCCTAGGAGGACTCAGTAAATATTAAACAGCCCCAGGCCTGCCAGACAGGCTTCCGGGCACGTGCAGCCCGGCGTCCAGTGCTCACAAGCCACCAAGCAGCCTCTGCTTGCCTTGACTGTCTGGAGCAGACAGGGCCCTTCTCGCATGCCGAACTCGCCCCAGCCTCCAGGCAGGGCAGTCCCTGGGCTGACCGCATAGGCTCCTGGCCGCATGCACATCAGCCAGGCTGACCTCGGTCCTGCGCCTCATGACCAGTGCTGGAGGGCACTGCCAGCCTGACCGTGCTGAGCCTCAGCTCTGTTGTGCTTCAAAACGCACACCCGTACTGCATGGGTATCCAAGCCTGTGCCCAGACACAATTTAAGAACCAAACTGGATGATCCACCCCAACTCCTGGCTTCAGAGGCGCCTGCCCGACTGTCCCGGAGGACGGCCCTGGATGCCGAGTGCCTGTTAGTGGAGACTACTGGGTCACTGTCAGCACATGACCCAGTCCTCCCCCCCCCCCCACAGAGTCTGGAAAGAGAAATGGCCTTATCAGACTAATCATTCACACCTTAGTACTCAATTCTATCCGCTAGCCTCTCTAAGTGAGTTCTCGCTCTGCGGGAGGAGGAAGCCCTGGCTAGCTCAAGAGTGGGGTAGGATGCAACACAGGCCCCATCCTGAGCGGAGTCCTGCTGGGCTGTCCAGGGTTATTTTACAGAGACGAAGGGACTGCACAAAGGTGGGTAAGGCAAAACAATCTGGAAACGGGCACAGGTGAGGCCTGAATACCTGGGAGATGGACAGAGTCAGGAAGTTAGAAGCAACTGTGCAGGGGCTGGAAAGACCACCCAGCAGTTAAGCACCCTGGCTGCTCTTGTCAAAGGCCTGGGTCGGATTCCTAGCACCCACATGGCGGCTCGTTTTAAGTGTCTCTAACTCCAGTTCCAGGGGATCCGACGCCCTCTTCTGGCCTCCCTGTGAATTGCATGCATACACACATGCAAGCCAAACAATGATACACAGAAAGTAATTAAGTCTAAAACAAACAAACAAACAAACAAGCAAAACCCTAGCTATGCCTCTTCCCTAGCACCACAGGCAACCTTCCCAGGCTGCAGCTAGCTGAGGACCACTTGGGACCTCAAGAATAGCTAAGCCTAGCAACCTCTGGTATGCCCAAGCAGCCCTAGGGGTCCCAGGCACTTGCAGCATCAGGGCTCACTCTTCTAGCCCACACACATACACTGCATGTATCTGACTGATGGCCGTGAGCCCATATATCATCACAGGACCAAACCACCTTCATCTTCTAGGAGTCCAGCGGTGGCCCAGTGGAGAGATCCCTTGGGACTTTTTGGATAGAAGTCTTGATGGGGCTTGACGGGACATGTCCCATGGATATGGGGTGGAAGTGTGACATGTGAGCACCACCAGGAGGCTCTGTGCTGTCTGTCACATGCCGCCCTCTCCCACTGAACCACACAGGGCCCTCCATGCCTCAGTGGACCAGAGATGGTCCCAGGCTATGTGCTCCTTGGCCACCTCCACACAGAGACCCCAGGGTGGGGGCCCAAGGAAGCCCAGGCAGAGGCAGCAGGGAGACGGCCAAGCTGAGAAATAACATTGGTTTCCCCTGGTTTACATGGACCCAGCCCCCAGCAGCACTTATACAGCACCTACTGTATAAGCCGGCCAGGGTGGGCAGATAGGTGGGTAAGGGCCAAGCCAGGCCAGAATGGGCAGATAGGTGGGAAGGGCCAGGCCAGGGTGGGCAGGTAGGTGGATAGGGCTAGGCCACCTGCTCTCCTCTCCAAGGCTCACAGGCAGTGACTAGGACCAATCACCATGGGTCTTTGGCCAAACTCTCTCCCATCTGGAACTTCTGCTTAAGCCGTCCCTGGTCCCTGACACTGAGGACAGGTTCCCCCACCGTGATCCCTCCGTCTCTGACCACTGCCCACGTGCCTCTGCAGCCTGTTTGCTGCTTCTCATCACCTCAGGACCTTCGCACTTGCTGTCTTCTCCACCCCCACTCCCATTACCTCCATCTGCTCCTGCTTAAGAAAGCCACTGCCCCTCACGCCCTCAGGAGACACCACCACCCACTGCTCCCTGTCCTAGGACCGGCATAGCACTGGCCCTGGCTGAGTTGACTTCATTTTGTTTGCTTTTGTTCCCCCCCCCCCCATGGAGACTCAAACAGGGCCTGGGTCTCTCCCCACAGACGTCTGCTGAGGGAAGAGGGCTGCTAAGCGCCCCACTGAGATAAGCATTTCAGCCCTGGTGGTGCACCCCTCTCGGCAGAGTTGAGACAGTGCAGGCCAGTGACGGGGTGACATGCAGATGGCCTCATAGGGCTGCTGTTGGATGGAGGTGAGGCACCTGCCTGGGCTGGGCATGGTGTCCTCCCTAGCACATGCTGTGACAGCAGGAACTGGCTGGGTCTCACAGCATGTGCCAGGGCCTGGACGACAGAGGCCCGAGTGGCTGAAGCGCAGGCTGAGCTAACCCAGGGCCTCTTGGTCATGAGGCCACTGTATGGCCTGGAGGCCGGACAAGGCCTCTGAGGCCTTTAAGCCCAAGCTTAGGTGTGTGGTATTTTGGAAATTTGTTATTGATCGAGTGACTGACCAGCCAGGCTCGGCACCCCCTTGTGCCTACCTGTCTGCTCAGGTGTTGTTTGGTGCCTTTGGCTGTGGCACTTCCAGGCTACCAGCCAGGAAGCTTGTTCAGTGCCCAACTAAGACAACGGAACCTGGGGTGGTGGCCCCATCAGGGCAGGAGGGAGCATGGGGTGGACCGGCATGGCCTGGCCCTCATGACCCAGCCAGCTACCCTTCATCAGAAAGCCACACCCCCAGTGTTCTGTTGAATAGGCACCTCCACTTCATGACAGCCACACGGAAAGCCTCACCCCTCCCATGTTCAAGTGAGGCTCCCTGGCCTCAGAGAGGTGAAGTCACTAGCCTCAGGTCACAGAGCCGGGACAGGAGGCCCCATGTCCAGGCTACTAAACAGGAAGAACATTCCTTCCTACCCCACCCCGAGGAGGCTAAGGCCAACTGGGAAGACATTTTGCTGTGTGAGCCTGGACTAGTGCAGCCACCTCTCCCAGCCTGTTTTCTGATTGGCCAAGCGGTGATACACTCAGCAGGTTGGCTTTGGAGGCCTTTAAGGTGATGTAGATCAGGCCAGTGGGAAATGACAACTTCCTCCAGGCACAGACACATAGCTGACATAGTTTGATGTCCCAGGCTGCTGGTGGCGATCTGTGTCCCTCACCCTCCATTCCCACGGCACTTACGAGACCCTTCGGCTTTGCGCACTGCTGAAGCCGGCAAAGGAGGCGCTTCGGCCCACGGTCCCCACAGCTCCGGCATCCCCAGGGGACAAGAACCTCAACCGCACGGACATGGCTGGCACCTGAGAGGAGAGGACAGGAGAGTCAGCGTGTCTGGACACTCTGCAACAGTGCCTGGGGCATACCGGTCCTGCTTCCGCCCATAGCAGGAGTGGGGCCACAGCAGCATGAGGTGGGAGGAGCGGGGGACAGCCTGGGGCAAGCAGCAGTTGTGGGGTTCAAAGCCAGGCCTCTGTCCATCTCATGCCGAGCCCAGCTCCACTATCTGTCTGCTCTTTCCTCCCTTGCTATGCCCCCACCTGCAGCGCCAGCACTGAGCACCTGCTGTATGCAAGTTCAGTACTAGATACAGAGCCCCAAACAAGATGGTAGCAGCATGGGCAAAGGCTCTGGGTCGCCAGAGAAGAGAACCCACTCTAACTCGGAAACAGAGCAGGGCTGTAGCTCCTGCTAGAATGGGCCGCAGAACACAGGTCCCAAGAGGGTCAGGTCCTCCTAGGGAGGATTTCAGCGTTCCAACTGGGCAGGGGTAACTGGGAGCCATGGGTTGGCTTGAAACAGTAGTAACAGAGATGGCTGACATCAAGGGCTGCTGTGGCCCCGGGCCCACTGCCTGCCTCAGATCCAGGCTGTAACGAGGCCAGCCCACAGAGCCCTGGCTGGCTTTCCTTTTTTCCAAACCATCTCCAGGATGGAAAAACTGCCCCTGCATCCCTGGGGAGCAGAGCGCTTTGAGCCAGCATCCTCTAGCGAGGACTGTTGGAAACTTCCTCATATCTAACCTAAATCTCTGCTGCTTCCATTTCATACTTTACTCCTCAGCCAGGGCGGTGCCAGGCTAAGGATTCCAGGGACCCTAGTGCCCACACACAGGTTACAAATGTCTCCACCCACGGGCGCACCTTCGCCTGTATTGGAGCCCTGTCCCCCGGAATCTTTCACTTCTACACCTTGGTCCATGCTGGGGCCCTGTCCACACCTCCCAGCGTTGGTATTGCATTTTGTTAGAGTCTGTCCCGAGGGGCTGAGAGACCCACGCTGCACCTCTGTCTGCCTGTGCAGTTCTGCAGCCTTCCCTCTGTCTCCTACCCCATGACACCATCACACAGCATGGTGTTCAGGAGGGCAGCTGAAGCACAGAGTAACCTCAGCTCCAACCAAAGCCTGGTCCTGGGCCTCTGTGGTCACAACTGTAAAATGGGCTCAGAGGTTTTCCAAGGGACCAAGAACCAGATGTGCTGGGAGTCTTCTATGTACAGGGTGTGTGTGTGCACATGTGTATGTGTGTGTGTGTGTGTGAGGGGTGTTAATGACTTACTGAGCAAGTGACTGAGGGGATCATTTGCCCTAAAAGTACCAAGGGAACAACCTCTTGCCCTGATGAAGGGGACAGACTATGTCTGCTGAGTTCTTACTGTTGCCCAAGGACTGCTGTGTTTCCTGCACACAGATGGGGAAGTTGAGGCAGTGTGAGCTATGAAGCCCCGTGATAAATTCGGCAGATAATTTCCTTATTCAGTCCACGTTACCTCCTAAGTAGCAGGAGCAACTGATGGCTCAACCTCACAGATGGGGAACTGAGGCTCAGAGACACAGCTAGGACCCTCTGTGGACCCGAGTGGGGAAGTGACAAAGCCAGCTTGGAGCCTAGAACTATGTGTCTCACCTTGCAACAAGTACCACAACAGGGGACACAGCCCTGAACCCCCAATCAAAGGAGACCATTCCTACCCCCTCCATTGGCTCAGGACGGCTCAGGGAGGTTCTTGAGTGGCTGGCATTCCCTTCTTGGCTTCAGTCAGCCACCGTGGGAATTATGAACCCTCCAGCTTGGGCTGTCTGTCCTACTGGCGGAGACTCCCCCAAGTCTCCTGCTCACCAAGGTCCCTGCCCTTACCCAGCCCAGGGGGGGCTGCTACCTTCTCCCACTGCTGGGCCAGGGAAAGAGGAAGCCAGGGAGCTACCCTAGGGTCTCCAAAGCCTTCATTCCAGAATAACAGATGCTGAAAGTGTGGCCTCTGACAGTGACAGACACTGTCCCCGAGGGTTAGGAACGGGAGGCTGGGGCTCCCCGAAGGCCAGCACTTGAGACCCTGTGACCCCACTGACCTCGCAAGGAATGAGGCTCTGAAGGACAGCAGTGCAGAGGCCTGTGTCTTACTCTGCAGCAGGCCCCATAGATCAGCTTCCTGGCCAACCCCACCCTCTGGCCCGGGCAGCCTTCTTGGGCATCTCCTGTTCGGGAGTCTCCAGCTCTGGGCTGGGGTCAGACTCCTCTGCCCTCAGAATTCTTGGTTCCTACAGTTACCACAGATGTACAGTGAGACTTGCCCTCCCTCTTGGACTCCAGTTCATCACCAGGGAACTGAGACCCCCACGAGAGGCTGAGGCTGCCTCCTAAGACAATGACCAACAGGCAAGGGGGGCAAAGGGCAGACAGAAAGATAGGTGGGACATCTGCCTTTTCGGGCCACACACATCTGTCACCTTGCTCAGCTCAGCTACTTCAGAACTAAAGGAATTCCAGCAATATGCACGAAAGGGCGTGGCTTATTGATCTTATTCCCTTTTTAAGCTGGGCTTCGTGTAGCCCAGGCTAGCCTCGGAATTGCTATGTAGTTAAGGCTGATCCTCCTGTCTCTACCTGAGGCTACAGGCATGCACATGTACCTGGTTGACGAGGTACTGAGCCTAGGGCCTCAGGGATGCTAGGCAATCACTCGACCCACAGACCCACAGAGCCACATCCCCAGTCACCAATGGCACCTTAACCACAGAGTCACTGTCTGTGGGTGACAGTCCTGGGGCCTGCTGCAGACACACCCTCCGACTTCCACACCCCACAGGCCTCCCAGTACAAAATCTGCTCCCTGCTCACCTTGGCCCATTATCCCAAAGCAAGTGCTGTTATTACCCCCTCTCAAATAAAGAAACTGAGTCTGAGGCAGGGGACATGGCTCAACAGTTGCTGCTCTTGCGGAGGACCTGGGTTCAATTCCCAGCACTCACACAGCAGCTCACAATCACCTGCAGCTCCAGTTCCAGGGTTATCTGACACTTCTTGCTGACCTCTGAGTACTATGTGCTCCTGTGTGTACATGGCACACATACATGCACTCAGTCACATACACATACAACAAACAAATCTTTAAAAAGAAAAGAAACCTGGAAAGCTGAGGGAAGGATCGCTGTGACTTCCAGGTAGGCCAACGCTACAGAGTGAGACACTGTCTTAAACAAAAGAAACAGGCTAGGAGAGAGGATGGCTCCTCCGGAATCACTGACAGGAAACCCCAGAGCTGGGACTCGAACTGGACACCCCGTGTCCTGGGTCTGACACTGGGGCTGAGCTCTGCTTACCTCCCCAGGTGAACCCTCCACCCACGAACCAGTGATGGAAGAGAGGGAAGAGCCAGGAGGCAGCGTTGGGAAAGGCCCTGTCCACCCAGCAGCTGAGCTGTGAGGCCGGCAGCTCCCCCTCCTGGCCGGTAAGGCTAGTCCCCAATCTCCCCAGGGGATTGAGAATCGAGACTGAGAGAGAAGAACTGGAGCTGGGGTCCCTGGACTAACACGGTCTAGTCAGGATTTCCCGAGCAGCTGCTGACAAGCCCCAGGGACTGTTCCAGCATTGCTGATGTTTGCATCGGGCGCCACACACAAAGGGCCCCAACAATGGAAAGCAAGGTGGGGAGCTGGGGCGCTTGGAGAGACCCGTTGGCTCATTCAGCCAACTCTGTTGTGGCTGGCGTAAACCCCAAAGCTGCTGGTTGGGAACAGGTCTAGGGATCCCCGGGGAGGCCCTGATTTTGCAGAGAGCTCCTTGGGTGGAGCCAGCTGTCTGCAGGAGGCAAGGTGAGCAGTCAAGACCCACCGGACCCCCGGGTGGGGGAGCAGACACAGCAGTTCCCAAACCTTTGGTGGCAGCCAGGGCAGCGAGCGTCTTCTCTTTCCTTCCCCTTGCTGCCTGGATCTAGCTGGTACCTGGTGGTGCTGGGACCCCACAGACCAGTTGAAGGTGGCTTCTTGTGGACCTGCTTTCCCGACTCTGAGGACCCTGGGGACAGTCCTGGGCCTCTGCCCCCAGGTGCAGCCAAAGGAAGCAGAACTCCATCTGGCCATACTTGTCCTGTGTCACCACCCACCAGAAACCTGCAATTTCACCTCATTTAGAGGTAAAGTGGCTAAATTTAGCATGGCGGGCTTTCGGGGCTGGGTGCCTCTTATGTCTGAGTCCGTCACTTATGGTTGTTTTTTCTCTCCTAAGTGATGGCCAGGGCTTGAATTGCCTTTGGGGGTTTCAGAAATAGCTCCCTTGGTACGGCCTGAGAGGAACTGGTAAATCAGACCCGGAGGAGAATGAGCCTAAACAGGAGGGGCAGATGACCAAGAAGAACGCCTGGAACCAGACTGTCTGACCCAGAGGGGGCCCGAGGGAGCCAACCTCTCATTTTACCAAACACTCACACGATTTGCCTGGAAGAGCAAATAGAACTGGGCTCCTCCCCAGCTGAGCGGATCCACGGCTCCATCAAAGCCCTGCACTGGGTCTGCCCCAGGGCTTCTGCACTGCCAGCTCCTGTGCCCCCCGGATCTTTTCTTGAAGCCTCCTCTAAGCCTTCAGGTCTCATGGCTGAGGTCACTTCTTGCCAGAGGCCATCCTTGAGCAAGTCCTGACTGAAGAAGCCTCATCCCCCATTTTGCAACGTCCTTCCGTGGACTTGTTGCCGGCCAAGGCTCATTATATATTTCACAAGAATTTCTGCTCCCAGACTGGACCATTTCTGTCCCATGCACACCTCTGGGCATGCCTACTAGTGACTGGGTAGATATGTCTGAGATCTTTCCTTCCAGCTACTTGTTCAGTGAGCATGTACTGAGTACCTACTGTATGCAGACCTTGGGCATATAGTTGTCACTAGGCCACTAGGCTTGCCAATTCTACTAGACTAACCATCAGGAATCCTCCTGCCTCTTCCTTCCCGGAGCTGGGGTTGAAGCTGCATCCTGCCACACTTGGCTTCTGGGAGGGGGGAGTAAAAAATCCCAGAAAGAAAACCTGTTT